GTTTTCGTTCCTTTGTACTTAAACGCAATTCTCGTATCTGTTGGAGTCGAGAGAGAGAAAGAGCCGATGAATTAGTTACGGTTTCGAATGTTTGATGTGAGACTCAACTTGATGCTCGGAATCTGCATATCTTGCAGCACCATTCAAAGGGCAGGCAGCGATAGATTCATACTGCTATACGTTTATACAGTGGACATAAGCCGGCAGACGAGTGAACGGAGTCCGCCAGTAACATGAGACACCCCTCGCTACAAAATCGCACAAATTGCAAATTAATCGTTTTGGAATTCGTCCAAACACGTTGATCTTGGCTGAAAAATGTATTTATACGGGAGTTCAAGTAAGAACGATTTGCGTATCGCGAATACTTGAACCATTCTCTCTTTTCTCATTTTCTTTCATGCAACCTCTGGCTTTTTCTCTCCTCACACAGTTGCAGTCGCATTGAAGTCCGTATACCATAAACCTAACGGCTGATGAAAATGAAATGTTGAAAATGTAAAATATTGTCGACTACGAGTAAAATAATTATTCCCTGATGGGGTTCCTGAGAATATTTTCATACCGATACTTTCACCACGTTGGATGTCGTACTGGCCAAAGTGGAAACCTTGAAATCAGTTTTCCATACTTCCACTTTCATTTATCTTTTTTTTTTTTTGCAGAATGACAAAACCGTAGTTGCAATGCAGGATGCGCAATTTTCAGGACCTGAGAAGATTTTCGGCTAAAGCGATCCAATGTTGGGTATTCCTCGTGCGTCATCGACTTTCACGTTGCCATTTTCGGCAAATGTGTGCACCATGCCATCCCCTTGTGCCAAAATAGTCACACTTAGAAGACAATATTATCCGAATGAATATTTATTAGGGTGATGGCAAATTGCATGCCTCTTAAGTCTTCCGACGTAACTGACGAACGCAAACGCCTGCGTATATCATCTTGAGATCAAGAACGCGAGGTGGATATAAATCTGATGAAAGCACGTCATTGAGATATTTCCAATGCCTGGTAGCGGGAGTCTCGTTCTCCGTCGACAAGGCGGCCCATCTGCTTTCACGAGCGTCTGGTTAGCATGCGGAGAAAACACCACTCCGTGTGCCACGTCTAGGAGACAATGGCGTAGCGAGGGTGAAGTCTCCCAACTCCGGTCTACATGCATCCATTCCCCCCCCACCGTTCCGCTTAGCCCCCCCATTGGCGAAATTCTGGCTACGCCACTGCTAGGAGATATGGATGCACTTTAATAGTCACGATCCCCTAAAGGCCTGATCTATGACCGTAGAGAGGTGTCCTTGTCAGAGGGACTGTCATCTCGATCGTGGTGCCTATGCCGAGCAGACACCCTCTTCCATTCTATGAATCGTAATACGATGCATAGTACTAAATAATATTCTGTCCAAAGAAAAATGTCCCCAGTACCATTCCAGATAGCAAGTCGTTCGAGAATCGATCAATTGAAAGTTAAACTTTGGTTTACGAAGATACAATGTTACATTCGTGCAAAACAACACAGACTTTCCCACACCATCTACTGCCTTCAGACAGTTAGTTATCTTATCGTAACCTAGGGCTCTCATTTTATTGCCTCCGCAACGAAACGTTTCTGCCCGGCCACGAAGCCACCGAAGGACGAAGCGCTGAACTCCCCCTCTCGATGCGTCCCTCAGAAGCCCCAACAGGTGAAAGTCCGATGGGGCCAAATCACGGGCAGCATGCAGTTGGCGTGCAATAAAATCCTTCAGCAAAACTAGGCCGCCTCCCTCCTCCGATTTGCACGTACGAAATGCGTCTGCGAGATGCGGCAGTCACATTCTGTCGGCGTTCTTGAAAGGATGCACCTTTTGTGATCCCAGAAACCGTTCAACCATCTCGGCGGTTGACATTCAGGAATTTATTTTTTTAATCCTTTTTTTTTAACCCATGAACAGGGTTGTTCATGGAACAGGGTTGTTCATGGGTTTCCACTGCATGCTTCTGCGTAACTTTCGTCTCCCGAGCAGTGTAATCGCATCATGCAGGAAGCGAATACTCTCCGAGTAGTCGCCTTATGCCTTATTTTTAACGGATGAGATTCTGCAGTGAAATCCCAATTCTTTTCTCCATCATTCGGGGCATGATCCATCGGGCAGGCGCTTTCCGTTATCTTTCCGATTTCCGACAGCTTATCGTGCAATATTGTTTACACTGATCCACAGCAATTGCCGAAGCGAGATAATAATCTTTCGAAGGATATGCGTTTGCCTTCCCTGAAAATTATATCGCTCGTCGTACGAGATACGGAGTCACAACTGCCTATACTCTGGCCGTGTACCATCAAGATTTATTCGAGATGACTTTAAAAGTCGTACACGCTGTATGGTTTATCTGCAGTCGTCACTGTAAACCGCACCCACTCGACAATACATTTCTGCCGGCGGGCATGCCCTCAGCCATGAGAAGTCTGATAACTTGAAGCAGCTACTGTTTGGGAAACGCCAGATCGCTTCACTTTGTTACTTGACTGATTGCGACTGCAACAGTGCCATCGGTGATGCCACACGACGTGTTCAGAATGATTTCAACTCAAGTTTTGGTTGAACGCCCCTCGTAACGTCACATTTTCAGTGGCGGAAGGGGGGCAATGTTGGTGCAATACAGGTGCGGTGTGACAAAATTAGCCCAAGGTTGATGGAAAGTGACTGTAACGTGAAGTTTTTCACAGTGAAGAGGGGACCCTTCTAATATCGTTTCCTTTCCTAAGCAGATGTTTAAGTCCACTTACAGCCTTGTAATTCCAACCGTTTTGGCCCAGGCAATGACATGCACACCTGCCAATAAATTGCAATACTCGAGGTGGTGACGTCATCAACAGGCAGGCTCATATTTACCACCTCAAAAACCGTTCGTGCCAGCCCACAGCATGAAAAATGTGCAGTCTACGTTGCAGAATAAATTGCTCTACGTTGAAGCCGACGACAGGTTTCACAATTTTGCCAATCTGGCTTTAACATTTTCCCTTTTTTTTTTAAACGGTCTCACCGAAAAGATGACACAAGCTTAATTAAGAGTTCACCCGAGTCGTTTCGCATTGAGGCAACCACTCACTTGTTTCGTCTCAGTCGATACTGAAATCTCCAACTACAATGTCTCGTAATACCTTTTTGTAACAGTGCTCCCTGCATACTTTCGACCGGCTGTTTCGTTCAGATGGTAATGAGAGTTTCATTTTCTCCTGAAACCGATTTATCCGCTATTGGCACTGTGTCGTTCCCAGGCTTTTGGAGGAGAACAATTTGGTGCGTTGACGAGAAGATGACTTTTCGCCGTTGGAAACCGCTGAAAAGTTCCACGATCGATCGAGGTTCGGTCGATTTCCCGCGTGTCGGCTCCTGTGATCGATTGGCAGCAAAATACTTTCCTCCATTGTCTGCTTCAATTTTGCAGTTCTTACGAGTAAACAACTTTTGGCTCTGGTCGTGATTTTAAACTGCGTTTATTTATATACTTTGGATGATTGCCAACGTGGCATCCTTGATTCTACTATCTGGAATGTGAACTTTTAAGTTTGTTCTTATGAGTTATCGAAGACGCAAGTGATCGAGCGCCGTTCGACAAGAAAATTTCTGCGACGTATTGAGTCCGTTTATAAAAAGGAAATAAACTTGGACCGGGTGAGGCAAAAAAAAAAAACGCACCTCACTGAAAATTTGTGGCATCTCTGCAACAGCAGCTAGAGCTATGAAGTTTCTTTCATACACACGTCTATGCATTCTGTGAGCATCAGGAAAAATTTTCTCGTTTGTTAGCCGTTTTAGCGCTCGAGTGATTATACAAAAGCGACTAAAATATTATTTTTGGAATTTTATTTTCCCCGGCACTTCAGAATCCGCTAAGCAGAACTCTGATTCGTCCATGCGTCTGGTAATGTCAGCCTCTGCTGCAGAAGCCAACTCATGAAAATAGGCAAATGCACGATGGAAAGAGGCGAAAGGGCCACGAATTTGGGAGTCGGGGGGGCAGGGGGCTTGAGCCCCCCCTTTGCAACCCTGAAGGACTTGGACGTCTTGTGACACGAAACTCACCCTCGAGTCCAGGGAAGAAGCAGAAGTCGCTGGGGGGCTAAGTCTGGGGAATGAGACAACGGTTCGCTGCCCCTTTCCCCGAAAAATCCCCGAACGATGCCAGCGCGATGAGAGGGTGCACCATCAGAGGGTGCACCGTCACGGTGCACCTCTGCAATCCGAAAACCCCGCGTACGTGATCTCGTCTGCCGATATGGCCACCTTGAACTTTCTTGGGAGCGATGGGCCTTGGTGCTTCCTTCGAGCCGACTGGCGTTCAGTCTCGAGGTTAGAGAGAGGCGACAGGTTTCATCCATCCGGACAATCAGCGAGAAACGCATCACCTCGGCGAAAGTAAAGCAGAAACAGCCGACAGGCACCCGCTCGCCTCGCCTTGTGATCTGCCGTGAGTCGTCTCGAAACCCGTCGAGATGAAACCTACCTGGAGCTCGTGAGTCGGAATTGCTCGAGCAGATACGGCAGAAATCCCGCAACTTTCTGCTATTCCTTAACCGATTTCATAACAATGCGGTCCACAAGGTAAAAAAATTAGTCGAATGTTGCTGCCAGCGGCCGTCCACTTCGCAGGTCGTCTTCAACGTGCTCTCTGCCATCTTTGAAAACGTTCACCCATTTTATGATGGGCTCTGATAGGCAATTATCCCCATGAACTTCACTCAATAGCTGATTCACGCTCAGCCGTTTTCTTTCTTTGAAGAGTTCAAAACTTGATGATGGGACAATGATTAACTTCAGAAGCTGCCGTCTACGACCAAAATTGAACGAAATGAGTTGCTGCCGGCAATTTCTTTGCTCAAACGAGTTTAGATTTGCAGAATTTTGATGTCACAAGTGGACTCTTCACGTGCATGAGCAAGATTCAGTTTATATTAGCTAGACAATTAATGGCAACTACAGGTACTTGATGAGCACTTTTTGAATGCTCCTCATTTGAAAATGAGTACATATAACTTGTACTCACGGGAATGGCCCAGTTCTGCAAAATCAAGGAGCTCTACGAGTTCAGTTGAACAGGATTTTGAAGAATTGAATTGTTGTAGAATTCAAGATTTTAAATTAGGACATCCTTTCTTTTAGGTGACCATGGGCAGTGGCAACTTGAAGAGGAAGGAAGCTTATTTAGAAACGTAATGCCATAACACATAAGTTGTTGTTGACCCTATTCAGGTTGTCAATATTTGCAAAAATGCCTCATGGCGTATGAACTTGAGAACCTGAGACCTTGCACCTTGGCCCATGGGCGGAGGCTGATGTGCCCAGCGCCCCGCATGCTCGAGTGCAGCTACAACGTGGACCCGTCGCGTGCGCTGACACGTGATCGATCCTCCTGGATCGGAATCAGTTCGCGTGGCCGACCGTGCGGTGGATCAGACGGTTTGGGTGTCACGGAATCATGGACTCCCTAAAGTCCCAATACTGACAGATTCCTGACTTACCCCGAGCTTGGAACTGTAGGAATATCAGTATGTTTCGCGTGGGGTTGCGTTAGGTTTGGGGACATTTGGGAAGGTCCATGCTTCCATCTTCATCAGAGAAGATGAGTGATACCAGCACGTCTTCTACTTCTTCAATTGCTGTGAGTCAAGTTTAGCATGCATCCCCATCAACTCGATCCTTAAGTACACATGTATGTACAGCTCTGTATTAATGAAACATATAATTATTCGTGCGTGAGACACTGCATATCATAAGAAACCTTAGGCCTAACTTAGTGGTTCGCTCACATAAAGTGCGCAATTATGCACTTTCAAATGTAGAGCAACAAAACTCTGAAACAATTCCTTTCCCCGATCTTATTCCTATAGTCCCAACTTCTGAAACCCTCCAAGTGACCTTATTGATTCTATCCACTTTAATATCTGAGATGTCTCCTGATATCCCACTTGACTTAATATCTCTATTCCTCTCTCTGCTCCTGTTGTCTCTCTCATGACTTGCTTTTGAGCTGATTTATCTATTTATCATATCCTTTAGTTTGCATCTTTCATTGTTCATCTATCACTGTTCCATTTTCATGTTCACTGTTCCATTTTTCTGTTTGCTTCTGTACTTCAACTTTATTGCCCTTAAATGGCACTGTGCAATCAGCAGGAAAGAGGCAAAAAAAAACCAAGGGGTTTTGTTGAGCAACTTATTGTGATGAGATGCTGTCTCTTGCTCCACAGTTTCAATAACACATGGCAGAGTACAAACTTAGGAATAAAGCTGAGGCATTTCATATCTTTGGATGAGATGGTCAAATAATATTTGGGTAAACCTTATGCATACTTTAGCTTTTCATAAAGAAACAAAATAATTTCAATCATCTGCCTGATGACAAAAAAGACAATTTAGTTACCCATCTTAGGCAATTGGAGATGACTATCACCAGCAGCCAGAAAGTACATATCATACAGGGTCAGGTTTCCTTTGACAGATGGCATAGCTGACCAAAGTGCTCATTCAAAGGTTCTGGAAATAGGTGAGCACTTGACCTGGCAATAGACATGACCCTAGTGCTTGGTGTTTAACACATGGTTTTGACCTTCATCCTTATATCCATGTTTCCAAAAAGCCAATATTATAAATCTCTCTTCCTCACTACTCAGGCACTTCTTAGCCTACCTTACATAGACATGAGCATTCAATGGAGAAACACCCAAATATAGTCAGTTAAGTATGGCAGAGAGAGTATCGTCAGAGTTATGCTGTTCACTGGGGTAAACTACTTTGCAGGTAGTAACCTATAGAGCTTAGGTGGAATGAAAAGACTTCATCTTCTGAAGAAGCTCAAGAGAGTGTTCTTTTTTTTTTTAATATTATTGTAATATAGGCATTCTATCTGGTCTTCCCTGGATGGGTCCTGGCAACCAAATAATCTGGGATGGTTTTAGTGGACATGCAAAGAATAATCAAGTTAACATTTTAACGAAGCAGCCAGGCTGCTTCTCATCATCCTACATCAGTGTTGTCTAGTGTTGTCTTCCTTTATCAGAGTAAAGGTGCCTTGAATATTTGGTTGGTGTCAGAACCAACTGGACCAACCATATTAGATGGTGATATGAAAAGTTCTACATCCTGAAGGCTTTAGGACTCTGTAGCCCAACTTTATAAGATTTTTCTTTCTTCCTCTTATTTGCAGTGCCTACTATGACTGCCAGAATGGTGGGGAATCACCTGAGTGACTTCCCATAATGTGGACAATAAATACACATTGTCATGTGCCTGTCAGCAAAATAGGTCTAGTCATCCAGAGGTCTAATGAATTATGACCCCATACACACCTTTTGATTCTAAAGCTGATTGAATTTGACTACCAATGTATGTTGAGCCAGACATGAGATTTGATAGAACAAAAGGAGGAAGTGGTGACATCATAAACCATGCATAGGAGCTAAATGTTGCTAAATGAGCTGGGACACTGGCAGTGCCAGATTAATGCACCTGGCCCTCCTCTGAGGGTGGTCCTGGTGGAGGCAAAATATGAAATAAGCATAAGCACAAGAGGAGTGACCAGTGGACATGTCTATGGTACTGAAGTTCTTGCTCATATCTGCCCTCTTCCTTGATGTAAATATCCTCCATAAATACCCCATATTGCTCTTAAGTGTGGGGACTGAGGAGAGGTGAACCCTAAACATGCATTGCCCAGGCCCCAGTATGCTTTAATCTGGCCATAGACACTGGTCACTATTGTAGATTGCATTGGCCTTTTTAAAGATTTTTATGCTGCTGTCAGTTTCAATCCAATATAGAGCTATGTTAGTGGGTAAATGTAATGGCAAGAAAGATGAGATGGGCTTGTTATGGAACAGAAACTTCTAAGAGCTAGTGACACATACTCTCCTGAGATTGGACCATGAATATACAGGGCACAGTAATAAAAAATTCCAAAACTTTTAACCTTAATATCTTGGCTCGCACTGGAATCACATTAAGAAACCTTGCTGTGATTGATATGTTCCCCACAGGCTTTTGAAGTTTCATTCAAATTGATTTTGCCAAAATGAGGTCATGGTTGATTATTTGAAAGATATTGAAAATGGACAGGGACTTCAATCCCCTCTGAGTGCCTTGCCCTCCTGCTTCTCCTGATGGAGAACAATGGAAAATCTGAATACTCCATGAGCTGACTCTGTTCTGGTACCTATTTATTCATATTTTCAAGAAAGGTCAGCTTTATCAATAAATTTTAGCAGAAGTGAAGTTTTATGTGGTCTGGATGATCTGCAAGCAGAGCACTTGAGTGTGTCCTCCACTCCATTACCAGCATGAACTCTTGTCCATTTTTGTCCATACTACTTTTTTTTTTCATTGCTTATAGCCTTACATTGAAACCACAAGTTAGGGGGAAATTTCACAGATATCCTTGGAAACATATCCATTTATACACAGTGAAAGTATAGTGAAATGAGCTTTCTGGGAGCAGAGATGTATTGTTAAAAGTTGTAGGTCTATTTTTTTTGCCATACCCTGCATATGGAATTTAAATGCCATACTTCCTCAATTCAAGTAACCTTCTTCAGTTGGGATCTCTCATCTGAATAAGAAACTAATTTCATATTGAATGTGTGCCTACCAGTATTGCATGAAAAAAGACCTCCAGAACAAGCTCATACTGCAAAGGAATAGAAACTCAGATGTGAAGATTGAGTTGCATATGATGTGTCATCATATATGGATATAATTTATTGTTTCTTGCCTGGTTGTTAATTTCTTCTTCCCTTCTTCTTTTCAGTGCTGTTGCTCACTTGCTCTGTGCAAACCTGCCATGACTTCATGAGGTTCAAAATGTTAGCTTTGTTTTTTACCTGGAACAAATTCAATTAAGTATGCTAGCCTGACTGAATATTGTTTACTATGGAGGAAAGGGCTTGGAAGGCATTTGTACTTAGATATCAAAGGCAAATTATGAATGAATTCAGCATTTAAAATATTTTTACCTGTGTATTTTGTCATGCAGTTATGAATTCCTGCTACAAGACTCATTATTTGGGAGCAGACAACTTTCATGAGAATAGTAGTTGGAATAGCTCAACTTTTGTGAGAAAGTTTCATGATATGGAAGCATGGAAACCCTAGTTCCAAATGGTTGGATCATAGTGATGACTTCAAATAATATTTTTTAGGATGCATCAGAGGTGTATGAAGTGGTGGTGGGAATCTGTGCCATGGAGAAGAAGTCCCTCAGCCGTCCCATGACTGAGATCCTCAATCGTCTTCGGGCCTTTGAATACATCCATCCTGTTGTCTTCCCTCAAGAAGATATTCTCACTGTATGTAATTTTATATTCTTTGACTGATTTTCAACTTAAGCATTATTTACCTTGGGAGTAACCTTTCAGCCAACTGGAACATAGTATATATCTGTCCACCCTGAACTGCTCCACATCTGCTTATGGCATATATATCTGTTTTCTTCCAATACATTTCCATCAAATTCCAGTAGATAATACAATTTTAGCAATTTTTTCAATAAATTTTAACAAGTTTTTCTTTGAAATAAATAAATTTACTGTTAAACATTTGAAAAAACCTAGCAATATGGGATGGCATATGTGAAAAAATCAAACAGTTGAGTGGTTGAATGCCTGTTAAAGGAACACAAATAGTACGAGAGAGGTTGATATCAACAGCAGAAAGGCATGACTCAAATTATAATGGTACCTTCTCCTATGACAAAGAAGATACCAATGCAATATTCATGCTGCCTGAGCTGAAATATGAGGATAAGTGAGAGTAGTGATGCCGGCATAGACTAATCAGGAAGGTAGGGTTGAATCCAGTTGTAAATTTTTCCTTTTGACCTTAAAATATATCATTAGCCATCATTGGATGAGGGGGTCAGATTTTAGGGAAATCATCTGAATTTTGACTTGCTAGGCCAATCAAGATATAGAGATAACTGGCTATAACAATCCAATTTGTCTTTGTGGCCAGTATCTTGTAATTCTTCTAAACTTAATCTGGTAAATTGGTGACACATTTTTATCACTACTTGATAAAGCATCTTTGCATCTCTGCAAACACGAGGCTTCCAACATTAAATAGAGTATTAATGCATCTCTCAAATCAGTACAGTACTAATGCTCACTTTTTGTGAAAAAGTAAAGTGCTGTTCCTTTGGTAGTAGGTACTTTAAAATCTTTAAGATAGTGTTGCATTAAAGTTTTTCCTTTTCCTCCACTAATAGCTAATTCCTTACCTGGAATACCCTGCTGTTAAAAGTAGTTCAGGATTCAATTAGTGCTTCTCCGATTGATGTAGAAGTGTGCACAAAGAGGAGTTCCTTTTATTAATGTTTATTGCTCTGAGACAGGGAGACATTCCATTGCTATTTTCATTTCAGAAACCCGTGGAAGAATGGCCATTATGTGATTGCCTGATCTCATTCCATTCCAAAGGCTTCCCTCTTGACAAGGCTGTGGCATATTCTGAGCTGCGGAGACCCTTTCTAATAAATAGTCTCAATTTACAGTATGAGCTCCAGGCAAGTGTCATCTTAATTCCAGAGTCATGAAGGTTTATCACTCATTATTGTGTCCAAGTTGTTGTTGCAAATCATGAGGGATATCTTATTAACCCTTTGCAGTCCTATTATTTTGAAGTTTTGCAGGCCAAGAAGTCCAATTGTTTACAGTTTTTTTTATTGAAATAGGTTCAAATGGGGTTTTATTGACATTATTTCTAATGAATAAGAATGTAATGTAATGCAGTTGAGTAATTTCTAGCCATCTGAGAAAGTAAAAATAACACTGTCAAATAAACATGGCTCGCATCCTACAGATGATATAGGACCTGAGAGATCGCATGTAAGTTTTTTCATCCTGGGTATGAGATAGGACCAAATTGCAGTTTTATAAATTTCATCCCAGGGATGAGGTTGGACCACAAAAGATTAATATGAAATATCAAAGTGTGAAATGGTGTAGAATGGGAACATAATAAAATTTGGATATTGTTACATCTGTAATGCAGGGCTTGAAATGTTGGAAAAAGCTATGTTTCTAGCAGAGATTTAAAAAGGATACAATAACATGAGGCAGAAGCTAGCAATTGTTGAATTTTTTAAACATTAGAAATAGCATTAAAATTTCACTGTAGCATTTAGGTTGTATATTTTTTCTTTGCCAGTATTTGAGGTTTAATAAGGATCATGTTGTGAAAATCTATTTCACATGTTGAACCCCACCCCTTTCTATGCATCAGTATTTTCTGTCTAGTAGGTGTGTTCAGACACAATGTGATATTTGCTTACAGGACAGGCGAAAAGTTTACTCAATCCTCCAAAGGGCTGGGATTGAACTACCCCGCTTTGCTGTTCTCAATCGAGACAACCCAAATGAGGAATCACGACTCATGGAGTCTGATGACTCCATTGAAATCAATGGGGTTGTTTTCAACAAACCATTTGTCGAGAAACCAGTGTCAGCTGAAGACCATAATGTCTACATCTATTACCCATCCTCTGCTGGTGGGGGATCCCAGCGGCTCTTCCGAAAGGTTTGAAAAAGTGGTTTTGTTCATAAAGGCCTTTTGGTTAAGCTTAACTTATATGTAGGGAAAATTTGTTGCAAGAGTAATGCATCACCATAATTTCCATAATAATCACTCCATTATCACCATTGCAATAGGTTTCTTGCACTTGAGTTCATTCCAGTGTGTCTTGATGGTCATATTTTTAGCTTCTGTTTTTAATCTAATGGTAAAAATAAACTCTGTATGCAGTATTACCAAGCATTGACAAAAGTTTTGAAGCTTATGGAACTGGAAAAATGAATAAATTCTGATCTATTTACAATTTTTTACAGAGTACAACAAGGAGAGAATAATCTAGTAACTGTCATGGATAGGATTTGCTTTCAGCAACCCATTAGGCTCTTCAATATTTGATTGTTTTGTAAATGTGATATCCTGTATAGTGAAGGACATGAATGTGGCATTGCTCACTTCACTCACTGGCTTGCAATATTCACTCAAGTGGAATTTCCCATGCAAGAGCCTTTATACTTCACTTCAGTTCTTTTACTTGGAGTTGCATAGGACTCTGCCTGTTTTTTTTTTCAGTCTAAAATATATGGCTCTGTATTTATTTTCAAAGCTGACAATTACAGGTTCTTGTACACTGTCATCACGAGCAAAGTAATATGGATTCACTTTTTTCATGATGCAATGTTTATGAGATATTTTGAATCAATTTTAAAGCTCAACAGTTACACTACACTTATTTCTGCTTGCTTGTGGTTTTGCCTAGCCACTGAACACTTGGGTACCCCTTTTTAAGACTAGAAGTACCCAGGAAATAATTTTGACTGTTTGCCAATTTTTAATGTGCTCATTTGGCAACTAAGGTCCTCCCACAGTTTTTATTTTTCCTATCTAATATTGACATTTTTAACATTTTCAACATGCCAAATAACATCTGGGAAAAGTAAATTCAATTTTACAGAATAATAGTTTTCTACTACTTCTAATGCAGCGGTCAATTTGACCACTCCATTCCTTCTAGTGCTAAAGTGAAGTTTAGTTTTGCATAGGGCAAAGATAATCTAAAAATCAGTCAAAAAATGCACAAGATTGAGCATGAGTCTTATAGGTTAATGCTACTCTTAAGGGGCATTGAGAAAAACTTATTCAGCAATTTATCTTTTATGAGTAGATCTAGTTAAGTCTGATTATTAAGCTTGTACATGGCTTAGAAATACCTTTCATTGCCATTAGTGCAGGTGCTACAGTACAATATGCACATTTAGATCACACAATGCATGAAGTTGATATTAATAGACTAACATGAGTTAGTTGCATATAAACTCATGAAGGAAAAACTAGTTATTTTATGGTCAGGTGTCATTGCTGTCAAATAGGGTTCTCATACATATTTGACAGGTTATGGCAAAAGTGACAACAGAATGTCTGGACAATGCCAGTATATCATGTGTGGTACTTATCAGTGCATCTCTATGCTTGGCTATTCTGAAGATACTTTAGAGTTCAACTTCCAATGCCTTCACAGAAGGCATTGAAGTTGAACCTGAGTACAGTGGTGTGATGGGAAATATCTGCAGTTCTCTTTAGTATATGCAGTAAGGAATTCTTTATCATATGCCTTTTCACAAATTGTCACATTTTCCCCACAAATTCTTTTGTCAACCTTGGAGAAAGGAAGAGAGAGGAGTGGAGAAAAAGGTGGTAAAGCAGACTTCATGAACTCAACACATCTTCACCAAAACTCTGTTGTTTTATTTGTCTTGAAAAGATTCACTCAACTTATTCACTATATGGAGAGGAGAGGCATGGAATGAACATAGCCTGGATATGATGATGATGATGACTGAATTTGATTTCAATGATGGGACAGGCAAGAAAATACATGTATAGAATGATATTATTATGTTTGCAGACAGTTCTCTAACTTTCATGTTCTTATTGATAATGTTTCTTTGATGAAACTGGTGGGGTTGCTCTTGCTGAAAAGCCTCACCTAGTAGTAAGACTTCCTTGAATGACAATTGCATTGCGATTGTCAAAATTTTTTACTTTTGACTATAAATTCTAACCATAGTCCAAAGCTAAAGCCTAAAAGAGGCCAAGTTATATCACCTTACTTGGGCTTCTAATGATGAGACTTCTACTTGGCCTTAGCTGTTACCTGCTCTTCCTGCATAGAAACTTAGAGAGTGGTATGAAAAAGTGGCTTCATGTTAAGGCCAGTGGTGTAGCGAGGGGGGGGCTGGCCCAAGTTTGGTTCAAGCCCCCCCAACTCTGGTCGGAATGCGCCCGACCCACCCTATCAAGGAGAAGTTAGCCCCTCCAATGCTCCACTTAGCCCCCCATTAGCCCCCCCAACGTTCAGCTTAGCCCCCCCATTGACGAAAACCTGACTTCACCACTGATTAAGGGTGCAGCATCTCCATTTGTCAGAGTTGACAATGAACCTAGGGTTCGGTTATCTTGGAAAGTTGTCAAATGAATTATCAGATATTTGACTTCAGGTGCCACTTTTGAAGTCAAACATCCCAACCCCTGGTTAAATCTAATTTGGCAGGTATTTTAGGTTTTCCTACTGGCAATCTTGAGATAATTCTCTAAACATGCCTATTTTTCACTGGACAAATGAACTTCAGTGAAATGTCAAATTTGTACTATCCAAAAGTCCAAAGTTCTGCTGTTTATGCCAAGTTCACTGAACAGTAACCACCTTGAACATGCCTGTTCTACTTTGAAGTCTTTCATCTGAAAGAATCTGTGAATGAAGTCTCCAGAATTGTGATTCTAAGAAGGTGCTTGTCTCATATTTCATCTGGTTTTATTTTTTCAATGACACTTTCAAATTATTGGTCATATTTTCTTGGTGTTGAAGAGAAAAACTGAGGTAGACAATTCTAGTCTCTATAAGCATTAAGCTCAAGATCAGTTTTTAAAATTTGTAAATTACATTTCTCTCCCACTTCCTATATTTTTGTATCTGAGGTTGCTGAAAGACTCTGCCTAACAACATTTGGAAGGGTATATTTAGTCTAGCCAAGGGTATGATTTGTAAAGAAGTAATGAATTCTGGCTGATATGTGATATACCAATTTTCCAATATCCAAAAACAAGACCAAAAGTGACAATGGATACAATATCTATTCAATATATTCAAACCCCAAGAATTGATTTCAATGAAGACATTCATAAATACATATTTGGTATTATGAGAACCTTCTTGTTTATTGGAGCTATAGACTAGTGGAAATCACAAAAAGCAGGGTATCCACCAAGTTCTAATAGGGATGAAAAAATAAGACTAATATTGCTCTTGAAAGATTCATGATCACAGGAAATGAAATCAAACCCTCCTATAAGAGAAAGCCATAAAGGGGTAATGATGGTTCATGAGCATGGGGGATGGGTTAGGCCTCTTGAAGAGAGACTAACCTGCAGTATGTACATAGGGAACAGCACATGAAAATGCTCACTTCCTACAAGGAATGGTCACGAAGCACTGAGGCCCCCTCAGTGCTTTGTGGCCATTCTCCCTCTCACAGTCTAAAGAAGGAATAAGCTTACATTTTGAATAATACCTTCTTGTTTGACAAAAACATGCCATTCAAGCATGTTTCAATTAGAGATTGACTGATATATTGATTGCCAAGGTAAATTGGTTGATATGGGCATATCAGCAAGTATTCTCATTGGCTCTTTCAAACCTTGTGATATTTTTGCCGATATTAAAAGTATAGTTCTGTTCTATATATTCAGTTAATGAAAATATTACTAGAACTATCTTTTTTGCACTCATATGGAAACTCTGAGATGTGTGATATAGCCAATATGTGCATCATCCGAGAGGCAAGGAATTGTGGGTCTTTCACTCTGCTTATGTTCCTGGTCCAGCACAGACCTTCACTCTAAGGCTTAGGTTTGGTTTATTCTCTGCTGCCTCACTTCATAGTGAGTTCATCAATTAGAATTCGAAATGAAGTCAAGCTGTCCTGTTTAATCTTCAATATGGTTTTGTTTATGCTGAAATATTGGCCAAAGATAAGTGATCACTCTTTATGCATGCTTACTATTTAGCAAACTTCAGGTGTCCTTCCAATACCAGTTATAGGCAGCTCATATATTGTAGGAGTTGATGTATCAAACTCACAATATCAGTCTATACCAATGACCAATAAATATCCTTACATATCTAACAATAATGCCAATTTATGCAATTTGTATATCCTTAATTGGTAATGTTGAACATGTGAAGACAGGCCTGGCAAGGTTCAGTTGTCAGGTTGCAAATGGCAACTGAAATTTCCTAATTGAAGACTGAATTGTGATTTTTAGCAGTAAAGGTACTGATCTAGGCCATGACTTGCTGAATACTCTAAGAGTTATGTAGGAGCTTAGGTTTAGCTATAAGCTTGGTCAACCTATGTTCAAGAAATCACGTGATGCAAATGACCACATGAAGACTTTATTTGATTTTATTTTTAGCTTCTTATACAAAGATACTTTATGGCTGTAATGTACCTGCTGTACTGTATCTTTGCCAACACCTTGAATTATTAGGGATCATTTTGGATGTATGATATTTATGCTTAATGCCTGGTGAACCTGAGAACTATATAGTCCATGGTATCTGCAAATTCCTAATTATCAAGCCAACTACCAAGTGGGTAGCAATTTCTGAAGTGATTTTTCCATCCTGCAAAGAGGTACAAATAGAGCCTTCCTATTATTTATCCTCTTCACTATCAGTGCATGGTAATTTTGAAATTCTTTGGCTCATTGTCTAACCTGCTCCTCTAATGGAAAGAGCAACAGATTCTTTATATTCTATTCCTCATGGTACTGGAGGAATGGAACAAGCATGTGTACTTGCCACCAGGTATTGCTCCTTAGAGGAGTGCAGTTGGCAGCATGCATTTTGTGGGAATAAAATGAGCCTATGGAAGCCAACAATCAAGGATCTTGTTCAGCTGGGCCTTGTCACCATCATTGGACCAAGAATAGTAGCAACATACGGTCTTATGGCAATGGTAGTAACAGCTTCACACTTTTGCTTATTTCTTGTGAAGGTCTTTGAAACAGTTCATCAGGGGCAAAATGATCCTCATGTGATCTTCAAGATCTTCATCAACATTGGTGGGCTTAGCACATCATCATTATCCTCAGTCAGTATTTACAAGCAGATCAAGGGGTTCTTTGCATTTGGCCACTGAACCACAAAAGTTTTCATAGTTTTGGTCTATAAACTTAATTTCATATCATTCAAATGTTTTCATTGCCCAACTTGAAAAGAAAATTTTTTTATTGAGATCTGAGCAGTTTTAAAAAGCTAGGTTGGGTTAGGTTTGCTCAGTTTTGGTTTGGGTACTGTTTTTTTTTTTAATTTTTAATTAACTATGTAACTATGTGTCACTTGAGAAATGGAAATAATAGTTCGTATCCAAATTGTAATAGTGTCAGAAACTAAGGTTTGGTCAGGTTAGATTATTTTCAGAAATCAAAATGCATCATACAACTGCTTTCATTATTTTCAATAAACTAAGTATAACACCAAATTAGGTAGAATTAATCAAATTCCAAGTACATAATAGATTATTGGGAAAAGACTGTCAGTATAAAGTGCCTATTTTTTAACCAGTTTGCAATGCATTATGGAGGATTTGTCAGAAACGTAGTTTTTACTATAAACTAGAAATTTTCCTTGTCTGATGCTTTTGTTTTAATTCCATGAAATCTCAAGAGAATATCTGGAGAAATTATAATCTTTTCAGAACTAAATAAACTTAACTAAACATTACCTAACTTAAGTTTTTTTTAATCCTTCAAATTAAAAAAAGGGTATTTTCTTATTTAGCAGAGAACATCCTTTCAAATTATATATGATTCATTGAATCCAGTTTTGGAGTCAAAGTCATTATCACTATGTCACTATATTTTGGGCAAACTCCTTTAATTAGGGAATGCCTCATGGGATTTATCCATACCTTCTAATTTAGGTCTAACTTATGAGATCACTGTAAGAAGTCAGAAATTCTTCTATAACTAATAACATCTAATTCAATGGTTTTCCAAACTATTTGAAAAAGCATTGAAATGTGTATCATAATTTTGGAGCTAGTAAAGAGCAAACTTCAAAAACTTACTTGATTGCAACCCATGTTGGCATTTGTATAGAAGCTTGAAGTTCACAACCCCTACTGTATTGCAAACTGACTTGAAGGCAGGTGCAGCATTTTATCTGGGAACTTTATTTCATCCTTCCTTGGGTTGCAGTGTGTTTCAGGACACAGAAGTGATTTGAGTAGTGCTATTTAAATTCTGGTATATATGGCTTTGTGTACATACTGTGGGGTCTGAAGAATTAATGCTTTGTTCTTTGAATATCACATGTTATAGCAATTTTCCACCCTTTAGAAAGGAATTGCATCCAGCATGCATGGAATGCATTTCTCATGATCAGCCTCAAATACTTTGAAAGTCCTAGTGGTTTATTTGCATGGCAGATTCTTATTATTCAAATGATTTTTTGAAATTTTATTTTCTGTTTTTCCTTTTTCTTCTCTCCTGTACATTTTGTTGCACTTCTCACATCCACTGCCACAACCTGCAAGTAGCAACATGTCAGAGAATGCAGACCACAAGGGAAAAATCTTGGAGCAGCAGTTAAATAAAAAGAGGCTTCATGGTTTATCTCATGCAGGGGAGTGTTGAAATTGAGCTCATCCACGATGAAGGGAGTGGGAGAGGATCACGTTGGCCACCTGGATGTCATGGGGTCAGTCTTGTCCTATCTTGGGTCATCACAGGTCAAAAGCATGTGCTAAATCAAAATGAAACAGGAAAATTCAGGGCTGGGATGCAGAGTTGTTCTCCTTCTGGCTTCCAATCCCCTCACCTCTCATCCCTCTCATGGCTTCAGTGATGGAATGAGGGCTTCAGTTTCCAATTCTTCTATGTAGCACCTGAGCAGCTTCCCTGTCATGGGTGAACTAACCACAGAAGCAAGCCTGTGTGAAGTGCATCTGGAGTTGTACAAGTTGTCCCTGACTGAGTCCCATTCATATCTGCCCTTCCAAACCTTATATGCCACTTGCTGACTCAAGTTGCAAGCATTGCTTTGGTTTCTAGGCTTTTAGACCATTGATGGGACCATTTCACGTGTAATGCTATTATTTTCTTAGAACTTGGAACAACAGTGGTTTCTGAATTTATATGCCAAGTGAGTACATTTGCAGCTTTTTTGGTTTTATGGCATGCCACATTAATGTATGGCATGTCTGGGTCAGTTGATGAGTGCAGTATTAGGCACAGGTCACTTTACCCACAAAGTAAGTTAGGTCTTACTGAAAGTAATCCTGGAAATCAAGAAAAATAATTGAGAATATATTCACTTGTCACAAGATATTCATGTGAGAGAAATAATTTATTTAATCAGTAGAATAGGTTTGTTGAACATGTTTTCACATCTTATAAGTTGTGAGGTGAATCCTTCCATTTGGGAGCAATGCAATTGGAAGAAAAATGGATCACTTCTGGGCATCTCCAATGCATTTAATTGCCAAAATGCTCAAAGAATATGACAGGGAATGAGTTGAAAAGAGAAAGCTGCTGTATCAGTTTTCAAATGAGTCTGCACTGTTTCAGTTTCATTCTCTGGAACTCCCATGATCATTCAGTGTTGGTAGTTGCAGTTGCTCCTGTACCAAAACCCAACTCAGTTCCCCCTTCTCTCTTTAAAGATATGGTGGATGACCTCCTTTTGAAAAAAAAAGAGTTTCTTTTGATCCTGTCTCTGTTTCTGTTTCTTCTTTCTGTGCATCTGATGGCAGGGTATTCTTCTTGTGAATTGATGAGACTCCTTGACATGACTGATTTTATAAAACATTGAGGCTTGAAAATATTTTTTTGTTGTGTGGGGATTGAGTTTGCACATAGTACGCATAATGTTGTGACTAGAAACTACAAGTAATAGCATTTTGTCTTCATTCAAATCCTGTCCATATATCAATAAGTGATCAAGGAAGAATGGGTTCTGTTGAGGACTGGAAGTCAGCCATCATATACTTTACAGTGCATTAATTTTCTATGGTGTTGCATGCAAGCATTATTTGTTTTCTTTGTTCTGTCCCTTTTTTTTTCATCAGTTTGTATTTGTGCCATTTTTTTACTTTTCCTTTACCCATTAGTTACAATGATTTAATTATTTCTTGATATGAAGGCTACACATCAAGAACAAGAATTTCTAGACTAAATTAGTTATTATTTTTTCTATGGAATTCAATAGGACCTTGCCTTTTGCAATTGCACTGGAAATGAAATATTTTTGGGCTCCGTTAACCTTTATTGTACAAATGTCAGATATATCTGACTCATGTCACTTCGATGGGCTCTTCTGGTCCTTCGGTAGACTTCTAACCCAAATAAATGATATAATTGGCAAACCCTCAAGGTTTAAAAGAGGAGAATTCATTTCTGGCCATGAGAGGGCCGAAGTATTTAAAAACTCTATGATGAAGGTTAAAATCAAATCTACATCTCCTAAAATAAGTCTGGACTTGGTATAAGTCACTCCTGTTTCATATGTGCCAGTAAATATAAGCATGAGTAAGCATTGTTGGCATAGTAATATCCTAGTTGAGTATTCATGCTGGGTTATGGAAGATATAGGCCCAAACTTGATTTACGTCATAACGTGAAATGAGAAAGGAAAAAAAATCCAATGAACTGTATGTATGGAATTGATTCTGTTACTGGACTCTTCATGGTCTTCTTTATTATTTCCAGATAGGGAGTCGGAGCAGTGTATACAGTCCTGAAAGTCGAGTAAGGAAAGTGGGTTCCTTCATGTATGAAGACTTCATGCCTACTGATGGCACTGATGTCAAGGTTAGTAACTTTGTTTCACCTCATTAACAAGTCAAGGTTAACATCTCCTTATTTATGCTTTGAAGCAATTTTCCTAAGTATTCTCTGAGATGCCTTTTAATCATATAATAGGCCAAGAAATTTAAAAAAAAAAAGAAAGAAAAAGGATACACAGGCTGTCAAAAAGGTTGTACAATTGATCAGGAGTCCCATATGAAATACTTTCATTATAAGGCATTCATTGTTTCTGGAAACAGTGTGTAGGATTTTGAGACCAGGGTGACTTGTCATGCCTGTGAATGTAGATTCCATGCCTCTTGTAACTTAAACTCATGCTGTCTGGCACTACCTTGCAAAAGATTAGGCAATTCTGTCTAGCCATTCCACAGTGAATCCAATGAAAATCAAGCTTCTTGCCCTGGAAGTTAATTGTGAATGAATAAGAATTAATCCTTTCTTCAGACCAAAGGATGATATATATGATAGGGATATTTGCCTCCTCTTAGTCTTTTTCTAACCACTTATGAATGCTGGCAGCACTATATATTTTATAAGTAGGAAATTAAATGGCAGCCCTGCAATCCTCACCTTAAAAATTAGCCTCATCAGTTTATTTAACCAACTATACTTCTTAGCATTATAATCTTGCTCCTGGAAAGATGAAGGGGCTCTATTGCAATTATAATTTTTTTTATAACTTGTTTGCACACAAGAACTACTCAAACTAATGTAATTGTTGAATTGGGCTGTGGAATGACATTTTCACTTGTGTTAGGGAAAAAGTTATTGAGTGGAAAATATGTATCATTTTTATGACAGTTGGAGACAATGTCTCATGTCATTTTAGTGAGAATTTTTAGCAATTGACTTGAGTTAGAGAGGGATTGTTTATTTCAGTAAGCTGATGGACATCCATTTCTGTGTAGAGCTATTTTTTTCATTATCCTGGAGTCTCTGGTTCACATTGAATAGGTATCCCTCTTCTTTCTAGAGTAGAGAAAGGCATGATGGTATGACAATGAAGTAGCATGACATCTGAGAAAGGAATTAGAATTAAATCTATCTCCAAGAAACATATAAGTCTGAGCTAAACCCTTGCACCTTCTAATCTGGCAGCTTAGAAGATCCATTGTCTTTAGTTGAATCTGAATTTGCAAAGCACACGGTTTGATTTTGTACATGTGAAACGCATATTATCTGTTTCACTATCGTGCATTGTACTTCATTGCTGCATTTGACTGTCAGGTGTACACAGTGGGTCCAGACTATGCCCATGCAGAAGCAAGAAAGAGCCCTGCCCTGGATGGAAAGGTGGAACGGGACTTGGATGGGAAGGAGGTGCGATACCCTGTCATCCTGTCCAATGCTGAGAAGTTGATTGCACGCAAAGTCTGCCTTGCATTCAAGCAACTTGTCTGTGGCTTTGACCTCCTCAGGTATCATTCAGCATCTCCACCCTCCCTTGTCTATATTATAAGGTGATCATCCTCCAAATCAGTATCATCCAACATCTCTCTTGTTTTCCATATGAAACAGCTTTACTCCTCATAACGGCAACTCCAACCAATCCTTATCAAATATTTAATTCCATATCCCATAGTGGATCTTGGAAACCATTATGAATTGATTCTCACTTAGGTTCTGAACCACTTTACTTTGCCACTAGGCATAGGACTCAATGGTATTATGAGTGGAATCATTAGGTGCTTGGATATTTGTTTGAGAAATAGAAACTTTCTGTCACTACATCAAGTGCATGCCTCGTAGTAAGCAAACCTTCCAATAATACCAGTCCTGAAAATGGCAAATTTCATGAGTATCTGATTTCAGCTGATTTTTAATTTGTTTTCTATTGGATAACAGCATGGGATCACTATCTGATGATCTCCCTATCATTCATATTTTTTCCTATTAGGTGCCAGGATGATATGGGCATTAGAGGATATCCATTGCTAGCTTAAGGAACTTGATCAAACCTAATGTGATCCCAGGCCTGGACCTGTTCAAGGATCCACTGTTGGCCTGTATGTTATGGATAGCATAGGAAAATAAATTGTATTCTTTGAAATTTTCTTGAACTTTTTTCTTAGCAGAATATTGGAATATCTGATACATTCCTATACGAACAATATTTGATGCAGTCACTCTGAGAATCAAAAGAATCTATGTTTCAACTGTCATTCCCAATGCAGAAATTACAATTTGTGGAAATTCTTACCAACAAATTTAAATTGAAACCGGCAAAAGACAATTACCTACATATTAACATTAAAGGATATTTGGCTTCGCCTGTTTATAAGTAAAAAATGTTTTTCCTACCTAGGAGATTCTCCCTTTCATTGACCTTCATAAAAATATGGGTTCGTAAATTAAAGATAAATTCCCTTAGTTTCCTTTGGGAGAAAGATCACATCCACAACTGAAAATGATTAGTTAAGTAAGCGACAGTAGATTGCTATAAGCCAGGGGTGTCCAACTCAATTTGGCGGGGATCAAATGATTTGGTTCAGATGTGTTTGGGGGTCTCACTAATGAATCTCACACCACATTTTTAATGTGAACAAATGAAATTTGCAGCAATTTTCCTAAATCAATGTAGCGAGAAAATGAATTGGCAGGTCAGATCTGGCCCGCGGGCTGCCATTTGGACACCCCTGCTATAAGGTATTGGAATGAAGATTAGGTTTTTGTTAGTACTCTTCTCTGAACTATAAAACGTTCTGCTACATAGTTTCCAAATGCAGCCCATATAATTTGTGTACCTTATAGCTTGTCTAATGGGGCGGGCCTTTGCACTTATTGCTATCACAGGTGTATGTGCACAAACTGGTTCAAAGAAAGTGAACATTTTGCACTTCCACCCCTATTTCTCTCACTCTGCAGGGCAAATGGGAAGTCATTCGTGTGTGATGTGAATGGCTTCAGCTTTGTGAAAAACAGTTCGAAGTACTATGATGACTGTGCCCAAATTCTGGGGAACATGATACTGCGGGAGTTGAGTCCAACTCTTCATATCCCGTGGTCCATGCCCTTCCAACTGGATGACCCACCATTTGTTCCCACATCATTTGGGAAAATGATGGAGCTTCGATGTGTATGTGCTGTCATCCGTCATGGGGATCGCACTCCAAAGCAGAAGATGAAGATGGAGGTCCGCCACCCACGCTTCTTTGAGACGTTTGGCCGACATGGAGGTTGGAGCCTTGGCCATATCAAGTTGAAACATCCAAAGCAACTACAGGAGATCCTCGACATCGCTCGTGATCTTCTTAATGACCCTGAGTGAGTTCTTGTTCATTTGCACTATTTACATTTTACAGATGCCTTCATGAAAAAAAATTGCATTAAAAATTGTCATTTCCTCTGGGTCATTTTGGGCCATTGCAATAGCCCAGATGCTGAGTGGAGAACACGAAAACATGGATTATTATTTTATTGCCAATTAGCAATAGAAATTTTGATGTTTTATTGTGTGGCCGCCGGAATGGTGTCATCAGTAGGTTTGCAAGCTGCCGATACCGATGCGTAAAGAACGTGCTGAACGTGGAGAAAAACCCCACGAATGTGGTTTGGTAAATAATTCACTCCAACATTATGGGAAAAAGCTGGGCCATCACAATGTATCATTATCATTATTGATAGTTAGATGCATAGATGGCTTTAGCACCCATCGCGATGGTCACGTCTTCCACCCCAATCACGAACAAGAGATGATGGAAGCCAGAAAGAGGTCCATGCTCCGATTGAGGCAAGAAACAACGGAGGTGGAATCTACGTCCGATCACATCCTTTAAATCCTTTGGCACACCTTTCCCTCCCCCCACCCCTGTGATGCATCGATGCTCTGCAAACAGCCATTGTGACAGCCCTAAAATGAAAATGTAGAGCATGGCTTCCTTATAGGCGTAATCATGATTCTTCACTCTTCATCTACAAGTCACTATTGGCATTGACACCAGGCGATGGGTATGCGATCATAATGGGTCATCAACCCATAGTACAAATGTGGCCACTGGTCCTAGTAAATGTTGCCCTAGTCATGAGTAATTGCATTAATTCCATTGATTGAAATTGCCTTTTGTTGCAATTAATCCAATATTGATTATTGTGTCAGCCTGTGTTCTTGCATACCACAATAAGTAGGCCAGACTCGAGAGGCAGGTGCACATAACTGGGCTCTGACCATGGATTCTGACTCGAGAGGGATCCCGCTCAGAGACTCCCATGGTCTCTCCAGAATTGTACATTCAGCATCATGTGGAAAGCTTATGCCACCATTGAAATCGTCAAGGTTTCCTTATAGAATGGCATTATTGCAAGTAGGATATTTTTGATGCAAGCAGCATTGCTTAATTAGATGTCCAGACTTCTTGCACAGTATTATTTAAAAAATTAATGAAGACAAAAACATTAGAAAACCTGATAGTCGCGAATTTCTTAATCTATCAGGATGAGAGTAAGCCTGACAAGACTGCTCTTTGTCGGAGTCCCAGGACTAGAAGAGTATCAGATTCCTTCTTTCCTTTACAGAGTTCTTTTGTAGTTCGAGGAGGAATTGGAATATGCGATATAGTTTCTGAATTTGGTGTTTCAGGCCCTCAACCTGTAATTCCGAGAGAACAAACTGCTGGTTCAAAAAGTGGGAGGTGGGAAGAGTAGCTGCGGGGTTTAGCATTGGCAATGAAAGAGCTTTTCCGCCACTTTTCCCTGCCATTGAATTGGGAGTTCTGAGATTAAAATATGAATAGAGCCTCCACCCATCTCAGGGTCTGCTTTGGGACTCACGATTTGAAAAATAAAAAACCCAACAGATTTCGAATGGTGCTTTCGTATTCCGCGACGCTTTCTCTGTCACGCATGACTCTCACCTCTCTGCGAGACGTGCTTGCTTCTTGGGCGTTGTAACTATTCGCTTCAGGTCTGCTGCGAATGCCATGGCGGTAACAGAGGACGTCATCAAGGGGGAGGTCGTAGTTATAACCGCAGAACCCTTGCCCGTTTGAAACATGATTAGAAGTAGGATAGGGATAGCAAGAACAAGGAACAGCTTCCCACTTCTGCCACCAATTTTATTGTGACAGGGATGTGGAAGTTGAAAAAAATGTAGCTAGCGATTATGGCTTATAATCTTTAGAAGGGAATGAAGGACAATGAATGTTGTCTTCAGAACTATAGAGGGATTCAGCAGTCTTCCACTGAATTCATCTATAGTTTCTCTGAATAAAATTCCATCAAAACTGAAAAATATTCCAGTGGAAACAGGGATAACAAAGTATAAATGGCGGATGATCACAGGCCTGGAATAACGTGCAGCTTAACAGGCCAGAAGACCTTGGGATGGTGATGGAGTGATGAATGATGGAGAGGAAGCACAAAAAGGTCTTAAAGTGAATGAAGCATGAAAATGGGAAGCTTCACACAAGTAGCTGAGGAGACGAGTAGAAGGAATAGTCAAACGTTCCTTTTTGTGATTCCAAGGTCCCTTTTTTGTTGACTGTGTGTGTGGTGGTGGGGGACAGGTTGGAGGGTGGAGAGTGAAGGGGTGAAGGGGCATGAAGGCCCCTTGGATTGGCATATGCAACCCATGGGGTAACCCAGCTATTGTGCCTAGTAGGTATTATGAAGGGCATTCAATATGTACTGACAACACTTTTTTAATTTTCCTGTTTATGGAAGCTGTCAACTTCATATATGCACATATTTAAAGAAATGATCTCTTCCAACATCCATATGTTGCATTCTAATTAATTACTTATTAAAGTATTCCTGATGCTTTGAATTACACCTGGCAGCTGTGAATTAGACACTTCAGATCAACTCTGGAATGTGCAGTATTCCTTCCCAGCAAGTCAAGACTTAAGAACTGGGAAAAAAACCATGTTGCAAATTATAGCAAATATACAAAATATAAACCTTATAGCAAATATACAAAGAGGTTAATGGCATCAAAGCATGATTTGCTGGAACAACATTTTGTGCATTCTGGATTTGGCCCAAGTAGTCAATTTTCAGCTGCAGGAATACCACCATCTAAGTACCATGGCTTCTGTAATAAGTGACTGATGAGGATGCACTGGTTTTTGTCTTGGGGGATTGTATTGTGGAGTGATACAAAAGTGTAAGTCTTGATATTTTTTATGCAGGAAAGTAAGAGTTGACTGCCAAAACATTCTGAATGTACATTGTGTCATTAAGTTGACTTGTGGCTAGTTCTTAAGCTGCAATGTGGATGCCACTTTTGTCAGAGTGCTTTGTTTTTGGATGAGGCTTTTACTGATACATTCTTCAAACAAAATTAATTCCTCAAGGGATAAATATATATGGAATTTCATCCCCACACTTTTACTCAGAAACATGACTGCAAGCTTAATTATTCACTTACTCATTACAGTTAAAGTGCTCAACTAATCTGATGTGCAAATACTTAGTAGTGGTGAGAACCAAGAATGGTGCATTGGTCCATGGTGTGAATTGCTTTGTGAGTGGCCCCACTTAAAATGTCAAATGACTGGTCTAGTTACCAAAATGTCATACTCTTTGTCATTGCAAATAATGCATTAGTGCTCTTGCCTGTTAGTGAAGTAAGTTTATTAGGTTTTATCAGCCAAGTTATGTTTATCTAAAAATTGACTGGCACTTACATCTGAACAAGGATGCTCTGTGCATTGTTTGACATCTTGTAATGAATGATAATAATATTGCCAGTGCATTGACAAGTGAATTGAAGAGTTCAACTAAGGAAAGTGTTATGCAGAAGCTAAGGTTCATTGGACATAAAATTGAACTTGAATTTTGTTCATATTCCACAAAGTATGGGGGCATATCAAATAATAAGATTCCCTTTTTTTTTTCAACACAAAACTATCAGAGCTCACAAAATAAGAAAAGTGCTTGAATAATTTGGCAACTATGTTGAAAAATAGTTGACGTACTTGTATTTGTTCATCTGTATACATTATGTCTTGGTTGCTAAAATAAATAAGTTTGGAGCAAAAAATTAGGGAGCCTTATTTTTCGATACCCCCTCGTATGCTTGTATTTGGTGTGCTGAAGCATAGTCATTCTTGAGTATGGTGTTACGTCTCAAAATTGTGTGTAGGCCTATTGTGATTGAATACCTCCTCATGCTGTGAGTTCATCAATAGTTGAAAGTTAAAATACTGTGTCTCTTTGATGCCCAGGTGGAGGAGTCCACAGCTCGAACAGTTACGGGCTGTGCTGGAAATGTATGGCCACTTCTCAGGGATCAACCGAAAAGTACAGCTGAAGTATCGACCTGGGGGCCTGGCTCAAGACTCTGGAAGTGAGGATATGTACCAAGAAAACATGGAGCCCTGCTTAATCCTCATCCTCAAGTGGGGTGGGGAACTCACCCCTGCTGGCCGTGTCCAGGCAGAGGAATTGGGCAGGGTCTTCCGTTGCATGTATCCTGGAGGACATGGTCAGGCCATTTTCCTTGATGCTAAGACATAGGATTTGTGAGTCAGAAACTGATTTAAGAAAGTCAAATGTGGAAATGAAATAAATTTCTCAGGGGAAAGTTAGAAGCAACACAAGGAAAATAAAGTAAAATAGGCTTATAGGTCTCTGAACTTCAAAGAAAAGCATATTAGATATAAGGAAGGTCCAATATGGCTATCATGCTGCACTGTTATGCCAGAGTATCTGCCTTATTGAATTTCATACATGCACTGCTTCAAATGCAGAAGCATATAACCTCAATATTGCTGTTGGTCTTATTCACAGCCATTGAGATGTCAGGTCATGAAGTCCACGAGCCTTTTGATCTGAAGCATAGATGCCAATAGCATAGGTAGTTATAGTCTTGGTTTGCCCTTAGAGTGGAAGGTCAAAGCCCTTCATCAAAGCAGTGAGGAGGGGCATTTTTGTGTCACCCCTAATGAGAATAACACCTACATATTTTGAAAGATGATGTACAGAGTGGCCCATAAATAGCACTACACTTTTATATCACTTTTAGTACTACACTTAATACAGGTGTTGGAAACAAAAGTAATATTGAAGTGCACACTTTTCAGAACAGAGTTACTCAAATACACAAATATGAACAATTACCACATCATAATGCAGACAAGTTTCATATCTACTGAGATATCAAGCATCAACCTTATCCTTTTTGTATCCCCAAATCAATCCCCAAATATCTCCATCACTGTGAGATCTGGAGATCTTGCTGGCCACTCCACAGGACCCCTGCATCTGATCTGGGAAATATTCATCCAACCAGTCACAAACACTGATGTAAGAATGAGATGGGGCCCCATCTTGTTGTCATTAACTTAATTCAATATTGCTTCCAGTCAATGAAAGGATTACCTTTCAGTTTTCCGATAACACTTTGCAATAAAAATTAATTGCTCCAGATTTAATTTCAGCTTTTTGCATACAGAGATAAACCATAAGTTATAATAAAATACATGATGTAGATTATACATATTATATTGAATACATATGTACAGAGTAGCAGAAAAGTGTAGTGGTACTCATGGGCTACTTTGTACATCTCAACCCAAGATGGTGGTAATCTGAACATCTATAGAGAGCACTTCTCTGCATAAAGGCTGTGTGAATACAGTTGAGACTCCTAAAGTGAACTATAGTATCTCAGGGAAAATATACTGATCATGTGATTTTCTTGCTGTATGGAAGCCTTTTCAAAACTGGCAATGCCTGTTGACTAAATGAAAGATGGATTCAAACAAGGTTTTTTTTATATTATATCACTTTATAATGATTCATTTTGTAAGAATGGTGAGCTTGCCATCCCATGAAACATATAATATGAATTTAACAGAAGAATCTATCCATTGAAATTGCTATTATTATTTTATTATTATTTTTTTATTATAAATATTATTCTTGTGTTGGTGCCTAGAGAACAGAAAAATACTTTGGAGGTGATATATCTTCATTCAGTCCTATTAAGGGCAGCCTTTGTTACTTTTAATACTCATTGAAAAAGCCCATTTGGGTAGAAAGCTGGAGCTTTAGCTCAGCAATATGTTGTCAAGGTATTGACATATTGTATTTTTAAATTGAGAGACCTATCAAGTCTCTGAGTTGAAGTATCAGAGATAAAAAACCATTCTGTCCAGGACTTCAGATACCTTTGTGATTCTACTGCATGCTTAGCTGTGCTATCCCATTATTGCAGGCCAGTATTCAGCTCAAGGCCTTGGTCTCCTGAGGCTCCATTCAACATTTCGCCATGATTTGAAGATATATGCATCAGATGAGGGGCGGGTTCAGATGACAGCAGCTGCGTTTGCAAAGGGCCTTCTTGCCTTAGAGGGAGAACTTACCCCAATCTTGGTCCAGATGGTCAAGTCTGCCCACACCAATGGCCTCCTTGACAATGACAGTGAGGAGTCCTCCAAGTGCCAGACCCTGTAAGGCCCCTGCTAATTGTTGACAATTTTTGTTCTCTTTATCATTTCAAATGTGCCCACTCTTGCAAATGCATCAGGACCTTTTAGATTGTCTCCCTTTTATATTGAGGATTCCATTGAGAGGTGCTACAAATTGAATCTGAATCAAAATTCAAAAAGTCAGATTTGTGAGCCCTACTTAAAATAGAAAAAATAGAACTAGACAGGAACTAATAAAATACCAGGTGACCCAAAAAAAAAACACATCCTGTTTGACACCCACTGTGGATGATCTAGGTTAGTGATGTTTTTGTATCCCATTGGAAACACAAAAACATTTTTTCTGAAAGTTTCATGTGCCTAGGTTGTCAAATAAAAATCAACAGTTGTTCAAAGTGGAGTCATAAATATACCTTTTCCCCACATGAGGTGGATGGAGTTTCAGGACTGCTTGAATGATATCACTCCCTTGATGCCAAAAATGCTACTTTTTATGCCAGTTCTCATCATAGTATTCTGCATAGCATCAATTATGATGCTTTGATGTACGACAGTAGTACTATTCTACGACATGTTGAATACTATGATGAGGACATGGCATAAAAATTAGTATTTGTGGTATCAATTAAGAGAAATAATTTAATTGCTGCTGAAACTCCATCCACCTCCATGCACAGAATAGGTGCATTATATGACTACCTGTAGAACAACTGGCTATTTTTATGCAGACCACCTAGGCACATGAAACTTTCTGAAAACAATTTTTTGTGGTGTTTCCAATGTGTTACAAAAGCTCATGAACCTTGATGATCCACAGTTAGTTTTATAAAGCCTCAAACAGGATGCTTTTTTTTGGGCCACCTTGTATACATATAAACGTAATTCTTAGAAAATTATACTCACTCATGACATCTTCAAGATTGTGGGAGGTAACAGTAAACAATTACAATGGAATGATAGAAGATGCTAACAAAGGAAGCAGAAAATATACCCTTTGGCTCCCTTCTTGTTTCTACCCTGTGGTCTTTCTTGGTCTCCTGAAGTCTTCAGAGAGACCTAGTTCAATCTTAACATCTCCATTGTTGGCTCCCTGCAAGAACAGGCAGTCATAGCCATTTACAGGGTGGTTAGAAAGTTCATTGACTTCAGGTTTTTTAATTTTCCTCAAGCACAAGCAAGTTTTGCACAAACAAATTGAACAGACACGACAAACAACATCTTTAGACTTCCATGTACTACTTTTCACTCAATGTGGCCCCCTTTAAATCGGACACAGGCACTCAATCTCCCAGGGAATGCATCCACCGCAGCGCGCAGGACATCCTGTGGGATCTTCTCCCATTCCTTCTTAAGGACACACTTTAGAGATGCGACGTTGTCATAGGACCTACAGCACACCTTGGTCTCCAGAATGCCCCAGACGGCGTAGTCCAGAGGGTTGAGGTCTGGGGAGTATGACGGCCATTCATCAGCAGTGATAAGGCCGGGAAATTGGTCGCTGCACCATTTCTGAACATGACGAGCTTTGTGGGACGGCGCAGAATCTTGTTGAAAGATCCATTCTCTGCCATGGAAGTGTCTCTCAGCCCAAGGCTTTACAGCAGCCTGAAGCACGTCGCACTTGTAGACCTCAGCATTGATTTTCACCCCCTGATCAATGAAAATCAATGGCGTTCGCCCATCGGCAGTGATCCCGGCCCAAACCATCACGCCAGCAGCCTTCTGCTTCCGAGTCATGATTCAATCACTTGGAGATAGAGTAGATGGGTCAGCAGACCAATTCCGATCGTTTTGGCGATTTAAAGCGTGCTCGATGGTGAACAAATTCTCATCAGAGAACAGGACGAGTCGGTGATTTTTGCCTGCGAGCCGGCGTTTCAGATTTTTGCATCTGATAACCCTGTTCTTCTTAGCGGTTTCGTTGAGGAACTGCGCTTTCCTCATCTTGTAAGGATGGGCCTTGATGACATTTTTCAAGATGTTCATCGTCGAGGATCTACTGATTCCAAGCTCAGTGGCTAATTTTCGCGCTGACCTTCGGGGATTCCGACGAATTCGATCCCGAACTCTTTTGATGTTGCGGGGGGTTACATCAGTGCATGGTCGACCAGATCTGGGTCTGTCATCTATGTTCTGAGTCTCTTGAAACCACTTGACTGTTTTGGAGACCAGCTGCTTTGACACTCTGGACGAGGCAAGCAACCGAACAATGTCACAATTCCGATGACCAGCCTGATGGAGCTCAATTATGGCAGCTCTAATTGTTTTCATGCTAAAATACAAAGTTATACGATCTCATTGGGACTTTTGGTGATAATTTGGTACTCATAACATGTAAGCAGATACACAAAACAAGACATAGTGGCAGTAACACTTTATTTGACTTCATCAGAGCACGTCAAAAAAAGTCAACGAACTTTTTAACCACCCTGTACTTATCCTTTGAGAAAACAATACAGGTATTTCTTAAGGCTCATGATTCCTTTAATCTGTTACATCACATATCTTATCACTGTGAATAATCATTCAAAAGAGCTGAAGCAACAACTTTTGCAAAGACCTGCTGCTGTGACCACAGGTTACAGCTCCCATTACCCTTAGTTTGCAAACCAATAACAGTTCCATTGCCATCATGTCCCATAGTAAGAGAGTTACTAGAACGAGAGTTAAGTATCACTCATAGATGCACTGGTGGCTCCATTTGCCTTTTATGTAATTTTTTATTTTTAAATATAATTAATTAATTATGATTTATTTTTCCATTTTTTCAGAGCAAAGGTACGACTGCATGAGATGCTGCAGCAGGACCGGGTTTTGACACCAGAGGACAGGGCCCGCCTGAACCCAACAAATGAGCTTAGCATATGCTCTGCCCTCGATCTCATTGGGAACCCAGTGGAGGCATGCCGAACTATCCATCGTCTTATGCTGCAGCTTATTGGCATTGTGAACCAGAAGATGCATGACCCTCGCTTCAAAGGTGAGTCTTGATAAATGATTATCAGTATCATGTTCATCAGATGCTGTTATAGATTAAAATATATCTTATATGTTTTTATAAGAATGAGGAAATGGAGGTCCTTTGGCTTTGTTTATTAAGTGCTACCTCATACCTCTTTGTGGTGGAGGTAACCAATAATCTGACAGGGAAGTGGGATTGGGAGGTGGCTTCTTGGCTGGTGCTTATGAAGATTTGTAGGTGAACTCATGTAGTTTTTTCCTCAATTCCCCTCTGCCTCCTTGTGATGCCTTTTGTAAAGCTGTAAGCCTCTTTCACATCATATTTTCTTGCCAGATACTCCATGTTCTTAGGATAACAGGAGTGTCATGTTATCATGTTTCCCAATGGATGTCACCTTCCACCTGAAATCTTTGGCTCGAACCATGCTCCAATTTACTCCCTTCTATATCCGTTGGAATAGTCTTGCTGATACCTTGTGATCATCTCATGGATATTTTTTTTTCTGGTCTCTGCTGCTGATCTATTGGCTGCACTTTTCACCAACTTGCCCAAAAAGTTGCTTCATTCTTCACAATTTTAGAAACTTGGCATAATTTTATTCATGCTTCTTTATTGTTGATTCTATTTGCCTCATCTCTACCAGGATCAGCTTCTAGCATTATTGGATTCATACATGCTGTACTCTGTTAAAATGTTCTTGTCACAAACCACCTGCAGCTACTGACAGTAGACTTCTGATATGACCTCATCTTCTTTGATGGATGAAGCCTGTTTTCCTGCTGCATAGACTCCTGCAAATGAAGATTCTTAGCATAACTCAACTCTTGTTGTCTCCCTTGCCTCTTTCCTTATTCTGCACCACCTTGTGCTGTCATGGTTCTAGAGAACCCAGATCCAGCTTATCTTTGCCTTCACCTGTCTATTTGGATATACAGCCAAGAAAGATGTCTTTGTGTCTCACATTCCTTTCCACATTGTTCTGCTCATTGTGTCAAACATCAAATCACAAGAGCTAAGTAGATCAAGACATGCTGAAGTAAGTGATGACTGCTTTTATGCTACTTGAGACAGAACTATGCAACAGAATTATATACAGGATATATGCCACAACTGTGTAACTGTGTTTCTGGTGTCCATGGGACTGAGGGCTTGAAAGATGAATGTGGCTGAACTTGCCCTGGTTGAGCTGGGAAAGCCAATACAGGGTGGGTTATACATTTCTTCAAGCACATGTAATGTAGGTTAAGTGCAAAATAATGCCATTGACAAGGGAATGTGTATGCCATCTTGTTATTCACTTGATGATACCTATTCCCAATCTGCTGTGACCTGTGGGTGTAATCACATTACTCAAGATTTGTATATATGTAGTGTCATTGAATGTGCATGACATGCTTTTGAAGAAACTTTTGGGCTACTCTGTATATTTACTGACATACCTGACAATATGTATGCCCATTACATGGACATGAAGTATGCATTCTCCTGAATTAGATTTCTATGTGTCTTATCATGTTCTGCTGGTGAAAGCTACCTTATATCATTCTCCATGACACAAAGACAGCTGGAAAGTAGGGGAAGGGGAAATAGGCATGCTAGTAAGTGGTAATAGTGTCTGGATATTGATGGATTTGCCAAAAATGAAAGACAGCTAGTAGAAATAAGCACATGGCTGGTTCCTGCCTTGTTCATTCCCACAAGTTCATTCATTGGTTCCACCCAGTTTTACTCCATTTGGATTTCATCCTAATCATCCCACACCAGCAATTTTTTATTATAAATTGGCATATGGTGAAATTCCCTTAAAATACGAGTTCAGACTAATCTAAATTTTAGCTTTGAAAAATAACATATTTTACTTGTTGGAACTCAGTCACCATTTTGTGACCTTCATGATCAAGGTGAAATTGTGAAAGCCAGAAAATTATTATCTTTGTAACTTTCCACTACTCCCTTGAATCCACTACTCCCTAGCAGTCCCAGTCTCATTGCACTGGTCTTCTCACCCTGACACTATGAGACAATACTGAGAGCATGTGGCACACAACCTTCATTAATCTTAGCCCTAAAAGTTCCAACAATACCAGCTGAGGGTGCTACTTGTCAAAGAGCGTGTTCTGGTTGGCAATAGGATATAATTTTTGCTTTAATTCTTTCACTGGCAATGCCATAGTCAAATGTGAGGTCAAAAGTTTGGCACAATTTTTTTTCCGCAGTCTACAATCAGAGTCTGCTTCATGATTGTTCTCCATGATTATGAGAAAGGGCTGATCACACTCTGCTCTGTTCTATTCAATAATCGTTGGCATGAAGTTAACTCCTTGAGTATTCACTGAGTCTCAATTTGGAAATTTATTATAGATAATGAACCGCATTTTAGATTGACTCATTAAAGGATCCTTGCTTTCATCTTTGACTGGCCATCTGATCTTAGGGAGACATGCGAGTGAAATAAGGTAGGACGTTGAGAGGTGCTGGATAGTCAGTGAGCCACATTGGACCAGAGTAAGTGGGATGCTCTGGATCAGCTTCATCCTGCCACTGCCCCACCGGGAGGTAGATATCTCGTGTCACTTTCCCTTGCTCCACCACTGGTGCTACCAGGATATCATCTCCCAAGAGGAATTCTGAATTGAAAAAAAAAAAAAACATTTGTAGAGGGTCTCCTTGAGTGACACTAGGTGAATGGCTTGTGTAATTATGCTCCTGGATGCAATGGTTGCCATATAGCATAGATATAGGAATATAGCCATAGGAACTGGCTATGGTTACTCATTTTGTGGATAAAAAGAATTGCCTTATTTGCAATAGGCAAAAGTAATTAAGGAAACATTTCCTCTTTCCCAAAGTCATTTAAGGATGAGAATATTCCGACTGGATGAGGTGGTCAGTTTTTCCCTTACCATTTCTGCATAATATATACATGGTGTCCATAAAGTCATGTACCAATGGGGCAATATGGGTAATGTTGTTTTTTGTAAGAATGCATTATGGAAATGTGTTCCATCATCAATGGGAATGTTGGACTGCTGTGGAATGTGCAAAACCAGCAGGCATGTTGCATCCAGACAGACTTGTTTTGAACTTATGGGACAACATTTTAAACAAATATTGTGAACCAGAGACAAAAATAAATTTTCCCCATTGGTGCATGACTTAATGATAGTGATCCATAATGATGATCCCCCTCCATAGTCCAAATTACTAGTCTGTTAATGAAACTGGTTATACGTTTTGAAAGTGTGTACAATTCTACATCTGTATATGTCTCCTCTGGTCCAAGATTCTTGAGTATCATGGTGATATTTGACAATAATACTGTGAGGTGGGTGGACTGCATCAGAGTACTACATTCCATGAAGCAAGCGATGCTTGAGCTACATATATTTGTGGCTTATGAATTGTAAAAAGCTCTAGTGAAATGGAGCTTCATGAAAAACTGGAGCAGGGACTCATATGAATAGAGAAGTTTTGTTTCTCTTGAGCTTTTGCACAATCTATGAACATTAAATAAATGCTGCTCCAGCCTCTCTTGCTTTACAGAACATAACTGCTCTGATATGATCCTCACTATACTAGCCTTGAATCTTGCCATCTTCCCAATCTTGGATATTCAAGTGATATCTTTAGTTTTATGGTTAGATTAGTAGTTTGGAATGGAGGGGGTGGTGCAAAATTATGAAAGTCTTGTATGGATTAAAATATTCTGAATTGGAAATAACACAATTTCATATATCTTTGGAATAGAAAAAGTTGAGGAATGTGGCATTTGCCTTGCTTCAACATACCAGAATCAATGGTGAAGGTCTCCGGATCAGTAGGGTCAACCCACCAGAGGGGTCGGTTAATGGGATGTCCAGTTGTTGTTGCCTCTCTTGCCAAGGCTATCATGGTGTCTGCATAGGTTGCATGGAGCTCCACCATCTGTCGGCAGATTTCAATGGTCTCCTCATCGTAGTCCCAAGGTGTAAGGGAGAACTGGATGGTTGGCATGAACACATTGACCTGAAGCCATCGGATGAACAGCTCCCTGCCCAAAGAGGACAATTGCAGCATTGTAAATCCTCCCTGATAGAAGGTTTTACAAAAGTTTCATACAAAGTTGACATGTGAAACTAATTTAATGCATGCACTGTATGGGATCTTACTTTGCAAATTCATATATTCTTCTCTTGTTGGGTTCATTTACCCTGCAGTGGCCACAGTTGCAGGAAACATATATTTTGTTCAAAACTTATGTTTAGTCAAGTTTTGTTCCTATTTTGAATTAAATTTTCTGACTGATGAGTTATTTTGGCTCACATTTTTCAACATTAATATGAGGGAGTGTGGAAAGGGGAACCACTCACTTGTCTGCTTCATCACCCGAATATGCATTCCCACCAACCATGTCTGGGAGGACAAATGGGTAGCCAATGAGACCAAACTGCAGGAGGGTAGGGATGAGGGTGTCGAACCCTGCAATGTCTCCGGTCCACACTGAATTCTTGTCAATCATCCGGACCCAGAAAGGTTTCTCCTGTGTTGCCCGTCCAACACGGACCTCCAGCATAGGACCAAATGGGGCTACCATCTCAACATATGCTTTAGTATAGCCATCTGGTATGAGAGACTCTTCTACATCAATAACAAAATCAAGTGGGAGCCAGTTAGTCTCCCCAGCATCAAATTTGAAGTTATCAATTCCTACTGTATCACGGAGGGCATTCAGAGTATCAAAAAACCATTGGACTGTGGCAGGGTTAGTTGGATCTAGTGTCCCAGCTAATATTCCTGCCCACCATGTTGTTAAGCCTACATCTCCAGCTGAGTCCTTGATGAAGTACTGAGGATGTTCATCAAATGAATCGCACCAGTTGTTGGAGAATGGATGAATCCAGAGTGTGACACGGAAACCAGCATCCTTGAGTTCTTGGACCATGGTGGCTGGGTCAGGGAACTTGACCGGATCAAAGTAATAGTCACCATAGCAGGGCTCCCATTTATCATCAATCTCCAGCTGGGAGTTGGGATACTCATTGTCTAGAATCTCCTGGCTAAACTGCATTACAATGGTTTGGTTGATAACAGTTTTGTATCGGGCCCATGTGGACCATATGGGATATCGAAACATAAGTTCATCTGGGATTCCAGATGGCTTTGGCAAGAATTTGTCAATGTTGGCATTATGAAGGGCAAGCATGTCAGTTCCACTGCAGACAAAGTATCCAAGCCGTGCTTCATCCCCTCTAAAGGGGAATGCTACACGTGCTTGGAAGCATAGGGTACTGGTATCGATGCTGAAAAATAAAGGAACCTGCTTGTCAACATGGAGGGAAGCACCTCTTGTTGATAGCCAGTATTCTTCCAGGACTCCACCATATTCTCCCATTCCCAACATGTCCTGGGCCACAAATGGGGCATTAGTGACATTACGCTTCTCAATGGGCCATGGCTGGTATCGCTGTCCCCCACCTCCATACCAGTGATTGCCATTTTCAATCTGAAAGCAGTCCTTGTACTCATCAGCTGGTGTGTCATCTTCCCAATCTATACGAACACAGTGGTCCTCTGCTGTTGCAATCAATCGCTGTCCATTTGCAAAAGAAAAGCAGAGGTCACCATCTGAGCATTCCATAGCTGTGCTCATATCACCTACCAACAGGCCCAGAGTCCCACCTAACACCATCTCACCTGTAAATCACAGGCTTTGGTTATAGTTCTGGGATGAACATTCATTTCTCTCTATTGGTTTGATGTCCTTGTTTACTTTTAAATGGAGTTCTTTATTTAGGTTTACTCTGACTTTTGCTTATGAATTTCAAATGGATCTCATTTAACTATGTTTCAGTCGTTGCTTTTCTGCTAAGGAGAATTTATTGGCTTGTATTATCCTGACATTATGAGAGGATTCAGCACATTGTGTGTATATGAAAGGAAAGGACTACCTGCTTCATTGTCGATTCTAAAGGCAACATGATCATTGGTTGTAGTGAAGAAGGCTGATCCCACCTGCCCACTCAAGCGCTGGGCTAAAAAGAGGAACTATATATTAGGTCAAACTTCTCTTATCAGAGGAATTGGATTCCCATATTTTTTCCTATCTTAATTGGTGTGAATACAAAAATAGCTCATTTTTATATTATTCAGATTCTGTGTGTGTATACTTGACTTCAGTCTTGGGTGATTCTGACCTATCGTTGTTGTTACCGTTGGGTGCCTAATTAACCCCTTGAAATCATTTGATGACATCATGACACCATTCATTTAAAAAAATGTTTAAAATGTTTAAAATACTAGTGTTAGACACATTGGGCCATATTTTAAAAGGGCTTTGAAAATATGACCCATTGTTTTTTGTTTGAGTTGTGTGGTACAATTTGTGTATTACCCCTGTACGGTTGCCTAGCAACAATGGTTCAAATTAACAAATGATCAAGAATTGAACATTTGAAAAATGACAAACTTTCAGTGAAAAATTAGAACACTAAGGTTAACACCTTGACAATTTAATGCATTTTTGGCTTGGGATGTCATATGATAAACATACAGTACAAAGTGTTAAAGAGAAATCTTTCTCTTTGTGCACCATACAAAATTTACCTGAGATGGAAGTTGCCAGTGAGAGAAGAAAGACCCAAGGTAACATTCTTTCCTCAATAGGAGAGATGGAAGCTTTGAAACTGAAGTTTTTTGAATATCGTCTGTAACATCCTTACCTTATCTTGAGAAGCAGAACACCTGCATCCCAGCTCCATGTTGTTGTCCTTGAAGTTTCTCCTGGAGAATAATCATGTGTCCAGTTTTCCCATTCCTATTATCTGTCCTTGAAGATTCTACATCAGATGTGACCAAGCTTTATATATCAGAGAGCACAAGCAAACAGTCCCCACCTCCCAGACCAAGTGAATTCTACTGCATCCTTTACCCCTCCAATAAAGAGAGAGGGTAGCAAAAAGCACTTAAAAAAGGCCTAAAAAAAACTAGCTGCTATCTTGAGAGATATTCTTTAAAAATTCCAATTCAAAAGGTAGTACAGAAACTTTGCAAGCTTGTACCATATACCTTGGGAAGCTTTATATCGGATATTGGGAGAAAAAGTATGTTTTAAAGGCCTGCTTGTGAAAGTGTAAATATGAACATCAGTGACTGTCAAAATACCAATGGTTTCAAAGCCTTCATATTATGGTCCTCATTTCTCTGTGAATATACATTTTGACTGTCAAAGAAGAGAGGGAAAATGATGGAAGGGATAGATTTTAGAGTGGATAAGGTGATTACAGTCTCCCTTATATTGACATTATTCTGCAGATTTTTAAGGGGAAATTTTCATAACTTTTTATATTCAGCACAATCTAGGAAATGTTTTCACAATGCCCTATTGGTAAGAAAGATGTTTTGTTTTGGAAAATTGCTGCAGAGGTCTTTACTGCAAAACAAAAAAAAAAAACACACAAAATGGGCACAAAAGGCTGAACAGTGAAGTGGCCTTGAAAACAGAAAACATCTGGTGGGTTTGTGGAGACAGGGAAAAAGACCTCCAATGGTTAAGAGTGTGAGGATTATAGGTGCCACCATGGAGAGGAAACTTATGAACCAATCTTATTGAAAATCTTATAGTTGTAAGTAAAACATAGCATGAGGTCAGTGAGGTATTTTGGCTAAAGAGTCAGGGGGGACAAGGCAGCAGATTAGGGACACTAATGAATTGCACTATATGGTCATATATATGCCCAATATATGTTGGACTGGCTAAATATATGGCCATTTCATATATGGTCTTATATGAGATTTTCATGTGAGCTGCTACACTTAAACCGGCTTTGTGGAGGGTGCGGTGAATGGTCTTCATGCTAACATCAACTCCCAAATTGTCCCTGAGCTTGTTGGTGACCTGCATGGCTGTTTCCAGCTTCCCAGAGGTGATGGCACAGATGATATATGAATTGCACTAAACATTCATATATGTACCATATGTGTTAGACTGGCTAAATATATGGTCTTATATGAAATTTTACATGGGTATATGAGAGGAGGTCAGAAGGTCTGATTAATTTTAATTAAGGAAGATATTTAATTTTTTTTCTTCATTTTCTCTTGAAAGCTTGTTTATTCAGCATTTCTCCACATAGTCACCACCAATTTGAATGCATTTCCTGAGGCGGTGCAGCCATTTTTGGAAGCACTCCACAAAATCTTATTTTTTTGGATTTTCCAGCTCATTGTTGACAGCTTTAATGATGTCATTTCGGGTGTCATACACTCTTCCATGCAAGGACTCCTTGATTTTGGGGAAAAGCCAAAAGTCGCACAGGGCTAAATCTGGTGGGTAGGGTGGACCTTCAATGAGAATGATCCCTGAGGCACCAATGAAGAGGAGTGTCTTGGTGGCCTTGTGAGTGTGAGCATTGTCATGATGGAGAAAAAAAATCCTGAAGCTTTGCTTTGGAACATCCTCTGCTGAGTTTTTTGAAGACTTCATTCAAACAACTCTCAGGAGAGTTGCTTGACCGAAGTCTTCAAAAAACTTCAAAAGAGATCCAAAAGTGTTTTATTGCTCATTTTAGAGAGTAAAGAAAGGGCTACCATAGCAGCTATCAATAGATCATTACATTGCAAGAAGTTGTTTAGTGCTGAATTTTGGGTAATTTTGAAGAGATATTGATGATGAGGTCAGTGATGGACCAAACAAGGAAGCTAAAAGGGTCTTAAAAGCTCCTATATGATATACACTAAGAAATAGCATAATTGAACTCAATTGACCTTTGTTGATAGGCAAGGAAAAGATTATAGTGGTTGTGACCTTGCATGGCATGTAAGCTGTTGAGGCCATTTGCCATTGAAAAAAGAGGAATATTGAAACATCAGAATATTGCTGCCATTTCTCAGGGCACTGAGAAATGCAAACACATTTATTCCTGAAAGCTTCATGTCTTGTTGAAATGTTTCCATTCAAAATCCATGTACCAAATTCACTGGAAACACTCTGTTTGGGAGGAACAGTGCAGTTGAAGGCTTGACATATTTGCTAATATGAGCAGATGCCTCTTTTGTCTAGTAGTTCAATATTTGAGGCCACTAAATTAATTGTTGCTATGACTCTTAGTTCACATATTTGTGTTTCCTAGATGGTAGCCTATACCAAGGGGAGACATGGGAACTGATGCATAGTCGATGGGGCAAGCTAGAAAGGGACTTCATCCGCAGGGATGGGAAGTTCCACATCTCTAAGATCCCTGACATCTATGACTGCATCAAGTATGACTATCAGCACAACCAACATGCACTCCAGTTTACTGAGTCCCAGACCCTCTATGTTCTTGGCAAGGCCATGGCTGACATTGTCATCCCACAGGTCTGTGAACATTATTAATTACAAAGACTCAGCATTATTGTTGTGGTGAACTCACACTTGTAACAAAATACAATGAAACTCTTCTGTAAAAAATTATTTAATCTTATATGAATGCATTTTTAAGTAAAGAAAGTACATTATTAAGTAGGGAAGAGTGCCCCCTCCCTCTCAATCAAACACCTTTTAGATCAAAATTTATTAATATTTTCTTCATGACTATTGTTTCATAATTTTTAAAGTTCTCAATTCTGCTTAACTCTCTCAATACTGTGACTACTGGTACAGGAAGGTGTGCTTGGTCCTTTTTAACTGTTGACTTACTTTTGACTTAACTTTGCTTTTAACTACTCATACTTGCAGGTACTGCATGTTTCAAGGCCAAAAATTTTGGTGTAAGCACCAAGCATGTTCAGCCCCCCAAAAATCCTAGCTGGAAGGTATGACTGTGTGTAAAAAATTCTGTACCAAAAAGGTTTAATTATATTATTGCATTGCTTTGTCATTCTTGCACTTTCAAATTATTTCTGAACTTAAGCATATGATATCAATATTGATAAAAATGTGATGTAGATGGCACTATGCCCTTTTTGTATGATTGAAGGAATATGGCTTGACAGCCCAGGAGAAGCTAACAATTGGGCAGGGAATCTGCACCCCTTTGTTGCGGAAGCTGAAGGCTGACTTACAGCGAGATGCAGAGACAGCAGATGAGGATGAGAGTGTAAACAGACTACACCCACATTACTCAACTGGGGTGAGCAGCCCTGGTCGCCATGTCCGTACCCGTCTCTACTTCACCAGCGAGTCCCACATCCACAGCCTTGTCTCCATCCTCCGATATGGGGGACTAGTGGATGTGAGTTTCAATCCAGCTCCCATACCCAGGTTTTTCTTTATTTTGTTTCATTCTCCTTCCCTGCATTTCCAACTATTTTTATTTATTTAAAAACCTTGGAATATTAATGAAAGACAATTTAAAAAAAACAAGAATATCAGAAAAACAAATGCAGACAAAGGATTTTCTTAATAAATTATATAGTTTTTACTGCAAGGTATGAGAAGAAAGAGCTTACTTAGGTATGAATGGTTTTAATCCCCTATGTGCCTGGTAGGAGGCAGAGGACCCCCAATGGAAGCGAGCTATGGAATATGTGAGTGCTGTGTCTGAACATTCCTACCTCACTCAGCTGGTCATCATGTCATATGAAGACACCACCAAGGACCCTACCTCTAATGACAGGTTGTTATCCCTATTCGCTTAGAGAGACTATATTAGGAATTCCAAATCCTCATCCAGAATGTAAATGGTCTCAGTCAGTATCAGATCTCAATCATTTGCATAGATTTTAGCTGAGCAATATTGGAAGAAAGTGATCAGAAGGCTTGCCAAATAAGTGAAGCCAAAGAAGCTCTCTCCCTCTACAATGATTGGTTCACCTTGGAATTAGCAGAAAGACGTTAAGGTACACAAGTTTCCCAAACCACTGACAAGTTGAAATCTGTTTAATTTGCCCTTTGTGGAGCTCTCATATTTGTTTTTATTATTATTATTTTTTCTTTTGCTGAAAAGTTTTGTACTCAAGATTTAATCAAAACATGATTTGGAAACATATGGTTCAAGCGATTAAGTATTTAAAATGAGAGCCATGGAAATTAGCACACAATATGCATGATAGGGGAAACTAGACAACACTTATACTTATCATGATGATGTCCAGATTCCATGTGGAGATCCACTTCAGTCCTGGTGTTAATTGCTGTGTGGACAAGGATCTTCCACCAGGACCTGGATTCCACACCCATTCCCGGGATTCCAAATCCTCCTTGGACAGCAGTGGAGAGCGATCCCCCAGGGAAGACCAGGACAACTTGGATTGCTCTTCAAACCAACCACTCAAGAACCCCTCTGTGGATGCGGAGATCAGGGAAGCATGTGCCCAGCTTCTGGCAAAGGGGTAAGGTAGCAAATGCAACAGATGGCACATGATAGTGAAGTTTTAGTCTGATTGGAGGCAATAAATGGGGATCAACTGAGTTCTAGTTGATCCCTGAAAGAGGGGTCTCTATATGAGACAAAAGTCACCCAATGTCATATGTTGAGAAAATATGAAATGGTAACTGAGAACTAGTAGCACAATTTATGATTAGAAAGATATTTGCAAGAAATTGTATTTTATAGGGCATTGAGAATTTGATTTTTTTTGGAGGTCCCAGTGACAAGTTTATCCATTTTGTTTTTTGTTTTTCATGGTATCATGGCTAGGTTAGGGAAGGTATCTGAAGCCTCTTCTGCTGATGATACCAGTGAACTAAATGGTATTGGTACTACCCTGTCAGCTTCTGCTAATCTGCTTTGGTAAAACCGAAGTGCTAGTGCAAACTTAGTGCTAGTGATACCTATCTCTGTCACATGTGATTTCTAGTGGAATTTTCCTTCTCAACTACTCATTGATGATTTTCATAGGTGACAATAATTGAAACTAATATTTTTACCACATTTAGCACAGTTGAAGAACTTTTCAGTTTTATTTATTTTCATCAAACTAGGAAAATATTAATTTTCACACAGAGCACTATTATCGCATCACCAAACTGATGCACTGATCCTGATATCCTGAGCTACATCATGTGCAAGTGTGGTCCTGAAACAAAGGTGGTCTCTTGTTAGAAAGAAAATTGTATTATCATGCATAATAACTCAAAATAATTGTTATCCCTCACCCTGATTCGTGCATAAAGAAAATATCCTGATCAAGATTATCCCTTTGTGCTCCAGTGTCATGCCAGACTCAAAAACATCACACATTAACTCTTCCATTCCACTGTCATTGCTGATGCATCATCCAATGTTGCCACCATTTACAGGCTTCAGAGTTATGCTTTGCCATACCTTTATCTTTCCCTCGCTCTTCTGATGATGGAAATTCTAGTAAAAAATGACATATTGGGGATGTCAATGTTGTCTTTTTCATCAGTGGGACCTTGAATGGACTTTGTTATAACCGAGATTTGCATTATAACTGAGGTAAAATTTCACATACCTTATGGGCTCTACTCAGAGACCTGGCACTCGTATGTTGTCATTATAACCAAGGTTTTGTCATAACCAAGGTCGTTATAACTAAATCCTACTGTTTATTGAGATTTATTCACATTAGCAATGAATACAGTAGCCCATGATCATTAATTGGATGAAAATGTATCCATTTATTAGCATTCCTATCAAGGACAGTCATGAGCTGATGAATCATCAAACCATTCCTGAAGGAAAGTGCTCTGAAGAGCCTCCGAATCAAGTACTCCCTGAACGAAGAGGTTCAGAAGCATCTTCCATGAGAAGGGATACTGAGGGGAGGAAGACAAGTGAACGACGACCAGGTGTCCCGTATCGCCACAGCTTGTCTGCCATTGTGCACAGGTCATCAGATTACAAGGTCCTCATGAGGGCATACCCTGAGAAAAGCAGTAAGACTTCTTCATCCCAACTCCTTTATAGCATTCATTTCCTACTTTTCCTGAGGAAGATAAGCTGTTGCTTGTCAATTCATGGATCTGGAAAATATCCATTCTGGAAACTGAACTAGAAGTCAAGTATTTTGATGCACTACACAGTGTGCTTATATGTTGATATCATCATGACAGTACCAACTGTGACGATCTCTATTCTGCAGGAGATAAATGTTCCTTTGCATCATTCTGCATGGATCTGCTTGTACAACATAGGAGAGGCTTAATGTAAGTCTCCATGTACATTTAAAAATAAACCTTATTTGAGGCTTTTGGTTCAAATCCAGATCTCTATGAGTGATTCTGAGAAGATGGGATAAAACTGTTGATGCCTTGAAGATATTTGAGATGATGTGTTGCATCTGTATCCTTGCATGCCTCCATCCATGGACTAATGCTAGGTTGAGAAATTTGACACATACCCCTTCATCATATTAGGCAATTACTAACAGAGTCATCTTCCAGATATAGTGAGTAGTTTCCAAAAGGCCAGTACATCATGGATAGGGGAAGGATTTTTATGCACTAAAAACTTGAGCAGGCATTGCTACTATCTATAATGCTGAACTCCAAAACATATCACTGCCATGCGAAACATAAATGTGGGATGGGTGAAGCTTCCTCACAAACAGAAATTCTTGAACTAATCCTGCATAATTTTTTTTCAAGAGCTGTATTACAATGAAATGTTTCTCAGCAGCACTAGTTTTTTAATCGGAACCCTTGAATATGGAAAAAATCATTATACCTGTAATTCTATAAATAAAAAAATTAGTTACAGTTGCCAGAACTAATTGTAGTTACTACTGCAACATCCTGGTAATTTTCTTTGAAGATGAAAAGATGAAACAGAAAAACATCTCAGTATCCATTCACATAACAGAAAAAAAAAACTATTTTAAATTAGTATATATTGCTGCTATTGCTCTGCAAACAAACATTAGTTTGCATGTCAATAGAAATCCTTCTCCTCCGTGCTACTGTTTTGGCAAGTGAGGATGAGTACATAGTTGTGAACTAGGAGCAAATGCATTGCTGTGCTATAGGGGTGAGTGCATTGTTGTGACTGGGACTGTGCCTGTATGTGTTGTGTTAGCGGGAGGGGATCGACGGTTGCTGCGCCACTCTGTTGGAAGCCCACAGGCCCAGTGCCCTTACCCGTTCAGCACAGCCGTCATCTCGGGCTTCTCTCCCCCTTCTCTCCTCCCTGAATCCTCCCACTGCGCCCCCCTTGATTCCCGTCCTATTGCCGGTAAGATCAGTATTCTTCCCATGCTTGCAAAGTCATCCAAGTACTGCCAAACAATCCTGAAGCTAGTCATTAAAGTTCCTAGTAGTATCTCTGAGCTGTTGAAGTGCTTATATTGACAACCTTAGAGATTGTCACTAGAGTACTTTCATCTGCATCAAGGCTTTTATCCCAAAAATTCAAAGGGATGCAGTCACAAATGACAAATATGGTAATACATTATTTCTAGCTATTGCTGGAAGAATGTAACATTTACATCAGTTTCTTCCTAAGTAACTATAGATATTTTGAAACAAAATAGGTGAAGAAGAGCAATGAATGGTTAAAAGATGCAAGATTTCTCCAACCCCAGGACTTGTTTTTATGCCATGTCATTCTCTTGCCCTGGGCCATTCCATGGAAATGGATGGATCACCCTAGAGTATAATTAGAAAATTTTAAAATTATTTTCTTATGATTCTGATTTTTCTCATTTTAAATGGTGCCATATGACTGTTTCACATTTGGTTAAATAAAGACTTGAATAGGCACTATTTAGACCTTTCAGGCCTATCTTCTGAATATTGCTTGTGCCACTTCAATTCTAGGGAGAAATGGGAAAAAATAGGCAAAGTGAAGACACCTTGACTTACCTGGTTTCTGGGAAAGTTTTAAATTGGAATTTTTTGCTTTTTGGTGATACAACTGCTGCTTGATATAACAAACCCAAAGGGACAGGCTAAAAATGGTTTAATAAAGAAAATGACACTGTAAAATGCACAATTTGTTATACAGAACTTCATTATAGAATCTGTACCAAAGTTCCATCTAACAAATTGTGCATTTACAAAGTCATTTTACTCATGACAAGATTTTAGCCTGTCCCTTTGAGTTCATTATATCAAGCATTGACTGTTTTGTAATTGCCTCATGAAGCAAAACATCAACTGTGTGGATGAGTCTGTTGCATCACATGTTCAGGTTCAGGGTTTTTGTCTATCCCAGTTTTTTTTTAAAGAGGTCAGCAGAGGAAGTTTTTAAATCACCATTGATTGGGAAGGAGGGTTCAAGAGACCTTAACATATTCTGCCATCTGTGGGGCATGAGAACCATTTGTATGAGCTGTTGCTTCTTCAGAATATCTGTGTTTCAGCTTCTATTGCCAGCCATTGGTTTTTTTTTTCAGTAAAAGTATAGCCTGTTATGACTTCTTTGAAAGTGCAACTCTAATTTATTCCAAATTTGCTTGTAGACCTTTTCAATTATGTGATGGTTCCAGCTGTAGGAGTATTATGTGATTTGCTCGAGTTCTGTGCCCCATCTGGATTTGCCATATTTCAATATTATCTTTCTTGACAGATTTCTTTCAATGAAGTTAGAGGCATATCAACTTCCATACATCAGATAAAGGATATAGAAAGGGAAGGTATTGAAATTATGCACACCCACTTGGATTGTCAAACTTAGTAAGTTATACAACTTGCAGGTCAACCTGCATATCATTGCTGGCTCTTCATAATTTTTCTCCCTCTCCATTTCTGTGATTTTTCGGCCTAATACACCTCCAAAAGAAGCTGTTTCTGTTTTTGTCATTGATGCTGTTTTCCATCTTATGTCCTATTTATTCAGAATCTCATGGTTTTCTTCTGCCTCTTTCTTTAGTTCTTCATCCTCTGCTCTCTAGATTTGGCCATATTCAAGTACACTGAGACTCTTAACCCTACAAGTGAATTCAACATGACTGTGATGCCCTGTGTGGTTGTGTGCTTTTATGAAATCTCACTGGCAGGAAGAAAACTCTATCCATAATTTATGCAAACTTGTTTCCTACTTGATGCTCACACTGTCATGCAGAACTGTAAACATATCACTGTTGCAGGGGATATTCAGCCACTTAAAATTACCAGTTTTGAAGGGTTAAGAATTTCTAGTTTTTGCTGGAGAGAAAAATGGGTATGGTCTATTATCAGAACGGGCATTGGATATCACATTAACATCAGCAATCATCTTTGTGCATAATTGACTCAGACATTTATTTTACTTGTTTTCTATCAACTTGTTGAATTTGCCAAGGTTTTCAATACAGTTCCTCACAATCAGTTTTGAGCTAAATTAGAGGCACACATAATTTAAGTTAGGATATGTAATTGATTGCTGGAGAGAGAGCAAAGAGTAATTATGAATGGGAAGTGTCAACAAAAGTTGGGATCAATTTAGTTTGTGTAATTTAGTTTAATTACATTTAAAATTTAGATAGTGGCCTCATATGAGTAAAATCAGTAAATTTGCAGACAGCATGAAAATATGTTTTTCCCTCAGAGAGGAAAGAGGACAGGACAAGAACCAAGAGGGATTTCAAGCTTCTGTGTGTCTGAGGAAGAAATGGCTAATAAAATTAAGAATTAAATTAATTACAAAGTTCTTCACTTTGATTATGATGATGAGTATTTAAATGCATTTGAGGAAGATAGGCTGGAGGATGCAAATGGGGACTTTGGGATCATCTGATGAGCTAAAGTTCATGCAAAGGTGACAGTAACTAATTTTAACTGGAATTTAGTCTTCATAGGGCATTCAATTGCCAGTAAGAACTCATGGATTATTCCTCTGTTGTATATAGAATAGGTGATACCCTATTCAGAGAACTGGATTCAATTTTGAAGACCTACTAATAAGAGAGGATTGAAGATGGCTGAGAGGTAAAATGATGAGTGATGAATGAGGACTTTGATATGAATGAATAAACCATTAGAACTTTTATTCACTTGAAAGTTAAAGGATGGGTATAGTAACTTTATTCAGAAATTTAAGAATTGATACTGTGAAATAGTTTTTTCCTACTTGATGGTCACAATGGCAGAATGGTAGGGAACCAGTTCAACTTGACAATTTAGGGACAGAGGTGAATGATGCAATGATTCCTGTCTACTTTACTCCTTGCCTCAAATCTTTTCAGCTCTTTTTTTCCTTTCCCCTTTATTCTGGCATTGTTCAGATGGAGCTAATAGAGATCGTAGACAAGAGGCAGTTGTCAGCTCAACGCATAACCACAGTCAGACTTTTATGAATTCACCAGTACATGCAGTGAATGCATTACAGCTGCTGATAATATTTTAAGTGAAACTTTCTTCTTGAAATCTGTATTTTTGGGTCTGAAGATTTTGTGGGACCTGATTTATTCAAATCTGGTATTGCTTCATTTGTTATTTATTACAGAAGCCTACAAATGAAATTTTGGTTTATTTTTGACCTCATTCTGACCAAGTGACTACATCTGATAATGTACTTATTTGTAGCTCTGTAGGAAGCGTTTTTGCTATCTCAACTTATATCTATTTTCTGTATGCTAGAATAATTTCAAGGATGCCTTTCTTTAGTGATTATTTCAATGTTGCCCGAGAGGTTGAGATATTCATGTGATACCCTTTCTATGGAGAAAAAGAGAGAAAACTTCCGTGGTCAAAATGTAGTTAAAATAGAATTTAAGTGAAATTACTTCTGCTACTTATTCCATTTGAAGAGTAATTCAAGCACCCATGGAAAACTTATGCTGGCACAAGTTGACTGACTCTCTCTGACTGCTTTTGTCAATGGAAAGTAATCAGTTACTTGAAATACTCAAAAGACACTGCTCTCCCTCTTTTCTCTCTCTTTGAGACCAGCTGAGCACAAAACAGGCAAGCACTGAGGTTTTGGTATGTCTGTAGTTGTAGCATGTGCATTTCTTTCCCTTGTTGCATGGTGGCTGAAATGACATCAGAGACAAGTAATGTGATAGGTCCCTTCAGCTTTTATCAGATCTAGGTATTATATAAAAGGGGAATGGGACACTATTCCTACCCATGGGAGAAGAGAAGTGCACCTGTTACTTGGGGTGCATAAAATGTCCTGTGATAGCAGTTGCAGTGATATGCATTATTGGCCTTTCCCTACTCCCTCCTTGCATCTGTAGAGTCCACAATTGAGAATGATGTTGACCATGCTGACACTGCTTCCTCCTTCCCTGACTGTTTTCCTGAAGCAATATTATATTGCATGCTTCCCAAAATTGTGTCTTTGATATATGGCTCACTTGTTGGCAACAAGTTTTGTTGCTTTGTTGTGCCACTGGCCAACTGGCAGAGACTCCTTCTTATGTTTGAATTACTTTCTTACCATAGCCACACTGCTTTCTTTATTTTTCTTCTTGAACCATCTTTACAGAAATTTTTTTCAAAGCAGCTGGATGCTTCTAGCATATACCTCAAAATTCACCTTGTTAATTGTGCTTATCAAAGGAAAGGAAAAGAAGAGAAGGAAAATGTATCCTTCAAATTTTAAGAAATTTGGACATTAATTTTTGTAGCCTTTTTATCCCTGAGGGCTACTTGGAAATCACACTTGACCTGTCCTGTGGTTGTAAAATGTAGCCAGCCTCAAGTTTTGGGCAGCATTGTGGCTGTTTATCATTCTGATGAATAGGTTACTTATTGCAAGCTGATTTTGTCATGGAAGTGAAGTTTAATGTATAGTTCATAATTGTCATGCAATGGAATTTTCTGGATTGATACCATGTAAAAGAGAATAAAATTGTCATATACTGCACTAAATAAAGGGAAAATTTATCATATGACTAAGCTTTTCTCATAACCATATGTAAAAGCTTCTTCATAGGTAGGCTGTAGTTGAGTCTGTCATTCTGGCTTTGTTCATTCTCTTTAAAAATGCCCAAACTTCCATGCTGTTTTTCCTGTATTGCTGCACCTCGGTGATGACTTGTGGACAAAAAATTTGGGGAGGCCAGTGCATGATCTTCATAATGAACAAGAATTCATTGCAGTATTAATGAAAGCATGAAGCACAAAATTTGGGAAAAATGCAGGTGGCAGGCAAAAGTTATTGGTACTTATTGATTGAGGCATAAAAAAAACAACTCTGAAATTCTGAAATATTTTGACAGCAGAGTACACCACAAATTTCACTTGGCTATTACTTCCCTCTATTCTCTAAACAGCCAGAAATTCTTGTCTGCATCTCTCCAGCCATTTTACCACATGAGCAATTTTACAAATGGAACTTCAATTTTATTTTTGTGGAAGTGAGTGTTGGGAGATGGGTTGGTGCATGTAGTTCACACCACTCTTGGACTGTTCCTCCTCAGTCTTTCCATGAATATGGTACTCCCTATGGAAGATGAGGCAGTGCAAAGGCTTTTATTTTGAGAAAGGATGAGGTGGGCAAGAATATTATACCAAGTATGCAAGAGATGGAAAAATGTGCTGCTAACAGAATTATGCACAAGCTGTGAGGGACTAGTTAATCTGGACCACAATTAGTCTTAAGTGGAGAAAACTGCACTATTTGGGAAAAATCCATTGTTTCTTGAAGTGATAATCTAGGAATCTTACAGTGTGAAATTTCCTGTTAGGTTTTAAGTTGGACTGTGTTATTCTTCTTCTGACACATATGAACTTTAAGGTGCATCTTCCAAAATTGTCATGAGTTTTTATTTTTCATGTAAGTAGAGAAATGTATAGTTTTTTTGCCCAATGATAGTTAATTTAATTTTTAAGATGCCATCTTGTACAAAAAGGACAAAATCTACAAACCAGACTGTTAGAAAGGCTCCATCAATGAACTAGAATAGATTAAGGTCTTAGTGAAGTGCACTGACCTCATACTGGTTTTGGTTATGCTCAATCATCTCATAAAAAGTTGAAAAATGATGACCCAGCTCATCTTTGGCATGACATCATATGTCAAATATGTGTCTTTGCAAATTACTAGTTTAGGGCAAGAGATTTGTGAAATTTCATAGAAATTGGAAACACTTAACTGTTTAATCCTTGGGGACTTGGCCCCAATATGCCTGATGACACTTCCTTCACCTCTTTTTTAATTTTATGCTTCTTTTGCCAGGGTAAATGAAGAACTAGAAGTCAATTAAAAATCTGCTAAGCCTGATTTCTGCCCATTTTCTTTCTTTCTGATTTCTGCCTGATTTCTAACGAAGTAAGTTAATTCACCATTCATGTTTTTCTAAGGCTGTACTAGTGGCCACATTGGGTGTGTGGTCGATTATGACTTATTGGCAGGTGATGGTGCCAATTCAAATTGTTACTCATTGATAATAAATATAGAACCATGACTTGAAATACTTATTGAAATAGGCCTATCAGAAAGTCATGTTTTACTCGTTTTAAGATTTCATGATTTCTCCATTGAAAAGATTGTTCTATCAACCGAAATTATTGATGGTACATCAATGCATCATGGAGGAGGGAGGGGGCATGTGTTAATGATTCAGCCCTTTCTTTTTGTGATTGGGGAGAGGTTTGACTTCCATTGTTTCTTGCCTCAATCTGGGTGTGGACCTCTTTCCAATTTCCATCATCTCTCATCTGTGATTGAGAGGGGAGGGATAAGGACCATCATTATGGGTGATGAAGCTATTGTGACAGCCATCCTTTTTCTCATTGTCATTCAGAATCATTTACCAATTCACATTCATGGGTGTTTTTTATTTTCTTTGTTTGGCATGTTCTTTTTTGGTCATTGGCACTGGCAGCTTGCAAACCTGCTGATGGCCAATGACACTGATGGTGCCATACCAGCACCCAAAACCAGTGTTTGCCAATGCATTGGTGCAGCCTTGGTTTTTTATTTTGTTTCCCAATGACCTTTTCATGTAAGTCTGCATGAAGATCTTGTCATTGACTTTCATATTGTCTTAACAAAGTACATGTTTTATTTGACCAGGCCCTGGGAGATAATTTTTTCAAGTTAATAAAAGGGAATGAGAGCTGGGAAAATAAATTAAAAGAAAGAAAGCCCTAGACTCTTCTCCACTCTACTAAAGAAGTAAAAAAATAATAATTGTAAATATTAATCAACAAAAGTGAGACTTCCTCAATTCCTTAGCATTATTTGAGTAATATGCTCCTGGAGAAGTTGCCATTTAAATCCTAAAGCTACCTCTAGATGCACCAATGAATTTTTGTTTGAAAAATATGATGCCAAAGATGTGAAAAGGATAAGAGCAAAGAAGAAGAAAGTAACTTCTATGTAATGTGTCCTGCTTCTGAAACAGGTTGGAAAAGAAAAGCACTCACATTATGTGCTAACAGGGACAAGAGCAGAGGCAGGTGAAAGATGGGGAGGATAGAAGGCAGCTGTGAATGAAAGGGATGCTCCTACAAAATGAGGGGAACAGAGTTTCCAGCTGTTTTATCATTTAATCCATCAGCGTGAAATGTTAAAGAAAAATGGCTACAGCAAGCTTCTTAGATCAGCAGGTACTACTATTCACCAGAGATTCACCTGATATCACTCAGATGTTCACATCAGCGAGAAATCTTTCTCACTTGCCAATTTCATTCCCCCCTCCTTTGTCAACCATAGGATTCAGTTTCTCAAAATGTGTTCCCCAAAGTCATAGTTTGATGATCCCAGGGGCTTATTTGCTTAACTTTCTTGAATATGTTCACTCTAGATTGAATGATAAAATGACTGAAAACTGATCCCTATATTTGTTAAGAGCACTTGTACTTCCTCAAACATCCATAGTTACCTCTTGCCCTCCCTGTTCTCTGTCATATATCTGCTCGGTTCCATATTCAGATATATTTTGGTCAGTCATGCTTTCATCTCTCTGTTCTTGAAGCATGATATATTTCTTGAAAGCTTCATTGTTTCTTCTATGCCCTCTTCAATCCCATCCTGCCCCAATTTTATGTGTACTTTATACTTTTTTTTAAAAACTTCTTTGGAACCATAGTACCATTGTCAGACTGGCTTTCTTTTCAGGGACATTTTCACTCATGGACAATGACTAATTGTTCTGCATGTTTATTGCAAAATTATGGAGGACTGATTGTATTTGCAGTGGTGGGTCCATGTGGGGGAGTTCCTGAAATTCGCCCATTGGAGACATTGCACAATGCACTGTCGTTGAAAGAACTGGATGAGTTTTTGGAGCGTCTCAGTGGCCGCTCCCGTTCCAATAGCATCCATGGCTTCAACAGCCCCATGTGAGGGGTTCTTTAATCTCCTTGCTTGATTTCCTGAATGAAAAACCTCATGTAGCCAAAGATGATTCTGTCTGTGATCAATCCCAATCAGTCATGTGGCCATATGGTCTGAGTGTGATATGAAACCTTAATTTATGGCTAATTATTGCTTATTTATGATAAATTGTTGCCAATTATATTTCTTCTATGATGACTGGTGTGATTTCAGTTGTCAGATGTAGAAAATGTTGGTAGGCAGAGTGAATAAATATAGAATTGTGGAGGTGAATACTGAGAAAGTCCTTTTCAAAGTCAGTCATTGCCTGAACAAATGAGCAAAATGATATGATAAAAAAGTGGCAAGTTGAGCGAGCCCAGTTTAGTCATGAGACTTCATTGAAGAGGGGATTGATTTTATCGGTATGTTAAATTGTGTTGTTACACTGTATGTGCATCATGTATCACACTTCATTCATTGGAAGAATATTTTTTGCTTAAATATGCATTACCCATTGTTAGTAGTTGTTCTATTAGAGAGGTGGAGAGAGAGTGGATGTATTGTGGAGCCAGTTGAAAGTCAGAAGTGGTACAGTGATCCATTTCTGCAGTCTATCCTGTTTCTTCCAAGAGTCTCACTGGAGATGATTAATTACAAATTGTTAAAGTTTGAAGTAAAACTGAACTGAACTTTGCTGTACTCAGCCTATTTCTGCTTAGAATGGGAGGCTGAGTGTCTCACATCCACACACAGGCAGAAGACAGGACGATTGGATCCACTGGAAGACCAATTTGTATATTTTTCTTGGAGGAATTGCAAATTGGTATCTATGATATGAGTTGTCTGTGCCATTCCTTGGCCTGGCATTATTCCACCCCATCCTGAATTCATTTCTCTGCAGTCCACTGAGAATTTACTTCATAGCTGAACACCCTTGTTCATGACTTCAAGTGTGCTTTCTCTTTACAAAAATATCCCCAAGTGATCTTTTCCTCAGGTAAACTGTCCTAAATTCTTTCTCAGTCCAACAACATCACTCTGATATAAAATATAAGATCAGTCAAGGACAAGTGCATCAGGATCTTTTTAATAGCAAGTGATGGGGGATATGTTGGACTCCAGTGCTACTGTGGTTTTCAGAGTTCATCCTATCTTATCAAAAACTGGAAATGTTTGTCTTCTGTGGCATCTCCATCTACATCATTTATGAAGCTCTGGAGGATTGGTGAGTCCTCAAGATGCAATTTTTCATGTGAATTAATATCATTTTCACTGACTCCATATCCACCTTGTGCAATCCCCAAAGAAAGGAAGGATCCAGAATGAAAAACAGCAAACAGATAAATTAAGTAATTTAGATATGAATTGAATATGAATTGTTGAAAAGATTTGCATGTTCTTTCTATTGTGTTTGTTGACTCATTGGGCTTCCCTTATGAAGAAGCAATAGCAATATTGCTACCTCTTAATGAGGTAGGATCTGCCTTTCTGCAACTGTGTTTCATGTAACTTTTTTTTTTCCAGGGACTATATCCACCCATGCTATCAAACCTCCACCACTGAAGGCATCCTTTTGCCTCATGAGCGCTGGATAATAATGTGTTCCTGGCTCCTTGCAAGCAAATGCAAGCAATACATGCCTAGGGCCTGATTATTGCCAAAACCTTGGCTTGTCTGTGTAGAGTATATGCTGTCAATCATCAGGGCCCCATGTTCACACTAATTGTGAAGCATAGGTGAGCTGAAGTACCTTATATTTTGCTGGATTCTAGGCATTCAGTCTAACATCACGGAGTCTCCTACAAATTTTTGGTGCAGAAATGTGTTAATATGATGTAAATTCCTCACTATGCTGGGTTGGCACTGATGACTGTCTTCATTTGTCATTAAGACCAGATAGTGATAATTTGCATATGTGGTGATCCTTAGAAGTCCCTTTCTTTGTCTTTCTTTGTTCCTGGAGTTTGAAAGTGGTTCCATACTCCACTGGTTGCACTTTCTGCATGTGTGGTGTATTGGCTATCTCACCCTGGGTCTGACTATCCTCCATCCTATCAATGACCCTCTGCATTTAATACTTCTTCAAATGGAATGTCTGTTCCTATTCCATTGTTGCTCAGTACAGTAGTAATGCCCAAATAAGATTTTTTTTAAAAATACTTTGTCCCCCCTTTTGAACAGAAATATTGCTCATAAAGACATATAGAAGAGTTATTTGCCCAGAGCTTTCTCAAAGTCAGCTCCTTATTTGCTCCTCTCCTTTGTTTGCTCCCTTTGCCAATGCTTCCTTTATGCCCTTTGCAGGCCTAAACTGAAAACAGAAAGCAAGAAGGCATCATGCTACAATGCTTTTTTTTTATGTGCCCTCCAGTTCATAGTATAATATGAAGAGATTTTAAATATCATGAATATAAGAAATGTGTGGTGTGGATGAAAAGAAATGTTCCATCATTTTCTGGGGCACTTTAAATATGCATCTAGGAAAGAATAAGTTTATATAATTATTATGGGAATGAAATGAATAGGCTCTTGTTTGTGATTTTCTTATATGCAGTATGAACAAAGCAATCAGATACATTTATGGTAATTTTTTAAATTATGAGTGGGGCTGGACAATTGAGAGATTATTTTTGTTCTTCAATTAGATGTGCATTTGTTGATGCCTTTGATGACTTTAGGGGCAATCACAACTGATTGTTTTACATTGCATTCTGAATGCTTTCTTCTATCATTGGAGATTCTGTGGTTCTAGACTGTTAAGCCACACCATTAGATTCCCCAAGAGAAAATAATTCAAAGTAGTATAAGTTACCAGGGAGGATGCTACTATGCAGACCCAGTAAGGAGATGATGTAGTGGAGAAAGAAATATTCCAGTAGTTCATTGTGCCTCTAGCTCTGTCAGGAAGAGCTACACCCTGTTGGAATCAGGGTTAGAATTCAACAGCTTTCTCTGCTAGTTTTGGCTCTTCAGGAAAAAAAGTATTCAGCATGAGATCATATGCTACAGCAGTCACAGTGATTACATATCCTCTTTGGTCTCTTAAAAAGAACTAATACCATCTCTGTTTCATTCATGACTTATTTTTACCGTTGTATTGATTTTCTCATAGAACTTGGTGATGCTTTGTTTTGGTCAACCCTTCCATTACTGGTATTAATACAGAAGAGTCTTCCTATACAGGATGTCTCAAAAAATGTATATGCACTTAAATAAATAAATATATATATATTAGATAATTCAGAGAGGTACAGTGTTTCGTGTGTGGAGAAGCAATGGTTTGCATCACATAGTTCACTACCGCAGATGTTCAAATTGTTCCCCATTAGCATCTAGGCACTGTTGACAGTGGTGAGCAACAGAGCAACAAACTCTTGCACAGGTTTCTGCTGGAATAGCAGTGCAGGAGCCCTCAATTTCATGCCTGAGTTCTTGAAGTGTAGCTGGTTTCTTACTCTTTCAGTACCACCAGCATCAAACATATCATGAGTTCTCAAAATTGTTTGTCATGTTTGTGGCTCAGTTGCAAATTCACTTCTCCACCTTCTTTGTACCTCACACATGTTCTCAGATTTCTAGTGCCACTTCAAAATCAACTTACATTGCTCTAAGGTCAAGTAAGCCTGCACCATCTTGTTTTACACACTGCCACATGGGAAACAGTTGCCTCAAAACTGTGATCATTCCATTACACAGAAACGCCATCTTTTATGTACACGTCACACTAAGCATCATCCATCTCTGAATTATTTCATATATATTTATTATTTAATAAAGTATACATCTTTTGAGACATCCGGTATATTTTCTTTTTCTTGTGGTATTTCACTATGTTTCATCAAAGTTGAGTAAAATTACTGCATATCAGGATGAGAGAATGGAAGACATGGGAGGAAAGGCAACATGAAGGACTTGAACATAGCTGTTTGTAACCATGAATAGAAGACTTTAAAAAAATGGAGGGGGGGGAAAGATGTAAGATGATGCAGGGCTATAATGACAGATATTTTGTTCAAGCTATCGTATCTTCATTCGACAATGCACTGGAAGCACTGGAATGATAGTTTGACATATTTTATGGACTTTTGCACACATGACAGAATGATGGAAAGGTGAGTCCATATGCTTTCCTTTCATTTTTTCCTATGTCTACATTAAAACTTCAAAAATAGGGGGGGGGAAACTATAAGAAGAAATAGCCAATCAGATTGAAGCATAATATTTTGGTGTGAGATATTGGTGAAGTAATTACTTGGAAGGTTAGAAAATTATTGCTTGACAGAGTATCACCTCAAGAACTGTTTTTTTCTTGTTAATAGATATTGTAACAGAACAGGCTTCACTAATGGATGCCAAATAATATTATGAAAATTCCTGTCCTAACAAATACAGGGTAGGTCACAAAATGATTATGGTTTTTCTTTTGTTTCATGTTGACTCACAGTGAAGACAACTGTATACTGTTACTGGGAGCTGCAATAGGACCTGCAATAGAAAATTTTGAGTGTATGTTTGGACACAAAGGGTAGGGAACATCTGACACTGCAACAAAAGTAACAACAACTGCAACAAAAGAGTAAAATTGTGCTGATGTACTCAGATGTAAAGCATGACTGTTTCACAAGGACGATTCAAAGCTTTTTTTTGGACAAGATGTGTTTTGAGCAGGAACACTATCTTGCTCACTATCAGCTGCTATTAGAGTGCACTCCAATGGCAGCTGTCATTTCAGCAGCCCCATACAAAGGATTCTTTTCTTACTAGATATATCTAGCAAGAAAAGAATTCCTTGGCTATAGTCAAGGAAAACTTGAGCTGACTGAAACAAACTTGTACAATTAATAGTGTGACCAAAGATCATCATAGACTTAATTGGTAGTGATATCAGCTACTGATTGAGTATGGTGTGACAATCCATTTATTTGTGGATAATTATTTCAAGTTTATATTTCACTGGTGCTAATGATGCTTTAGCATGATTTTCAGTTGTGACTTGCATGAAGTGTTGATGAGCAGAGTGAATAAATGTGGTGTTAAGGTTACAGATATGGAGGAAATTTTTTTTTTTGTATTCTATGCTTGTCCTGCAAGATGGCATAAAGAAAACATTATTCAGCTCACCCTATACCTGGGGAAATGGAGGCCTGGCATCTCTCCATGCTGAGTTTATGATGCAAATCCCTGGCCTGAATTTTATTCCAACCCGCCTTGAATTCTTTTCATTTCATGTCATGTCACCCTGTACTATTCCACTTCCTCCTACCCTGGATGTTATTGCAAACCACTCTGAATTCTTTTACTTCAGCTTGTAATCCATGCATTACAGAAACTCATTCTGGCTTCCTATTATTTCATCATTCACTCTCTGAATGCCTCTTCCCTCTTATCTGCTTTTCTCTTTACAATACCCCCCTTGTGATCCATTCCAATGATGAGCTGTCCTTGATTCCTTCTTACTCCAATACTGTTGTTTCAAGATAGGAAAATCCTCAGTTGTGGTCAAGTGCATTGAGTTGCTGTTCATCAGAAGTTATGGGAAGGACATGGGATTTCAGTGCTGCCTTATGCCTTCCAGAATCTGACCTTCATAACTGGAAGCATGGAGTCATTGTGCTTAATGGTTTCTTCTTCCCCTGGAGGCATAAACTTATCATGAAACTCTGGAGAACTGGTGCGTTCACACTGTTCAGGTCTTTCATTTGAATTAAGGGTCATTCCTTGTGATATCAACCTAGCCATATATACTTTAACCCCCCCCCCCCCCCAATTTAGATTAAATTTTATGGACTTGTAGGGTTCATTGAGAAACTAATTCCACTAAATTTCAACATACTAGGTCAAATACTTTTTGAAATACTGCAATTTGAATATTCCAAAAAAAAAGTGCCTATTTCTGGTTCAGTGATCAAGTGCCCATTTGTTTTGTTTTAATTATCATAGAGAGGTGAAATTGGCATCATTTTCAAGCTCTATAATGGCCTTTTATATGTTTCATGCAGTTAGCATGAAAATAAAGGTTAAGCATTTTGAACTTTGATCTTCAATTTCAGAGAATAGATCATCTAATTTTTCCACAAAAAAAATTACCATGACTTTCCTAACCTTTTATCTTGGAATGCACCAAATTTAAATTTGGGACTGCCATGGAATCAAAAGGTAAGAACAATTTTTAGTCTCATTGTGCTGATCACTCTTTAATTCTACCTGCACACAAGTAGGTCATAATATCTGCAGGATATGACAAAAAAAAGTGACCAACTAAAATATCTCTGCTAACGCTAAAGCTGTTTTTGTGAAACTTTCTCCATTCATATATGAGTGTGTTTCCAAATGATTCTCAAAATGTCATCCTAATTTGTTCAGCCAAAGTAATGCTATCAGCATATATTGGAAAAAGTTAGATATTGAGAATCAGCAAGAGGTCCTGCTTGTAGTGAAGAGCAAGAAACACTTGAGCTTGTGATCCTTCCTGGTCATGAAGGATCACATCAAACTCCTCTTTCAGTTAAATGTATTCTTTGGGAGGGTCATCTCTTGCAGATGGTTTTCATGAGCTTATTCCTGTTGAATAGCATATGAATCAGGTTTAATCAAAGTTCATTCAGAATTTCCCATGGTTTATTAAGGAGAAGGTGACAGGCAAAAAGGGCACTGCAAAGAAGGCCAATTGCTTGGAGTGTCTACACCTTAGGACTCCTTATCTTGCCAAATTTGGTTAGAATATGGAATTTCTTCTTTTCCTTCATTTCAGGTAAATTTTCCCCAATTTTTATGATGAAACTGAAATTATAACCATATTTTTAAAATAGTCTGAAGTCCCAAGTATGAATTTAAATGGAATCTTGATGATGAGGTAGGACAGAGGTTGAGTGCTTCCTCCACACCATTACCAGCAGGAGCTATTGTCCATTCCCAATATCTACCTTCTTTTAAATATTGTTGATAGTATTGATTTGGTGCAACAAATTCAGATGAAAATTTGAGATTCATTTGGAAGCATATTCATATATGCAAAGTGAAAGTTTCATGAATATCTCCAATGTGAGTGGAGTTATTCAAAATTAAAAGTCGTTGGTCTTTCTTTTATCATGGCCTTTATATAGTTACATGTAGTCACAATCCAAATGTTTAATCCTGAAATTGACAGAGCCCAGTGGCACAGAGCTACACCTGATACTTTCATAGCCTACATGTAGGGACATGGCCCCTTAAAGTGCATGAGAGAACTTGTACTCCCAGTCCATTTTGAATGCATATTCCAAAATTAAAGAGTAGGGAAAGCAAGAAAGCAGAAATAAGACTTCTCATGGATCAGGTTACAAGTAGTGGAATCAGACTCTATACATGGGTCTTCTTTATTTATAATATAGTGGTAAAATGGTTTGAAACTGGACATCTTGTGGTGAAAACCTTCTAATTGGTTCTCACCTACAGTTCCACCTGTACTGCAGATTCCACCTGCAATCCAGGTTATATTTCTGTATTGCATGCATAGTATAATCCAATGTAGCTAATACTGCATTCTTTACATCCCATAATATACATGCTGTGCCCAAAAATGTTGGAACATTTTTCAATTTTTAAGTACTCATACTTGGTTCAGACTGTCATTGTGCCCTTTTGAGGGTTGATTAATAAATTAAATGAGCACATTGATGTAAAGTAATATTAAAATCCATTGACTCATTTTGGAAAAAACAGTAGCTTATTCAAAATGAGGTTGCAGGGGACTAGTGCAGCTGGAGCAAGCACAACCAGTCAGAGAGGGAACCCACTGTTCTCTCATTGCAGGAGAGAGTGAACTTTGCTGTTTCTGAGTTTCAGCCAATGTCATGTGCCTGAACACAGAATGATGGTGGGCACTTGGAGCACCTCTTCCTAGTGAGAAACAGATTAAAATAATGCACTTATCCTCTTGATCATAGACATCATGTCAGGCATCCTGTATGAAGCACAATGTTGGGTTTTGATGCAGGTGTCCATATTGTTATAACTTTCCCTGCACATGCTTACTTGATGCATTAATCAGCCCTCAAAAGTACACAGCAATAGTCTGAACCAATTACCAGAAGATAAAAATTGATGAATGTTCCAAAAATTTCCAGAATAGAGTGTACATGTAATTCACTGTGAAAACTACTGTAACCCACAGCTCCCAAATATCCATGGGGTTTCAAAATTTAATGCAAGTTGTTTCTCAGTGGCATTCATTTAGGGTGCTGTTTTCAAAAGGACAAGTCAAATGAAGAGCTAAGACTTTGTTGCAACATGTTACTTTTTGTTATTCCCAGCCAAATTAAGAGCAGCATCTGACGGTGGTGCTGAGCTGATCTGGCGTATTGTGAAGGATGATTGCAAAAGTGAAGAAGAGCAGAAGAAGTTCAGGCCACACCTTGTTAGTGGGGACTTTGATTCAGCATCAGCAGATCTCCTGGCAGAATTATCCTCTTTGGGCACAAATGTTGTCCACACTCCTGACCAAGACTACACTGACTACCACAAGTGCCTTGCACACATTGTCTCCTCTGAGCTACATCAGGATGTGAGCCTCTTGGAAAAAGTGCTCAAATAGTGAAATAAAAGTTCTAAGATAGGGTGGGGTCTAATGGGTTACCTGAGCATAGGAAGAGACCAAACCACCAATTGCCAAGTCATGTCTTCTGGGTCAATTGAGTCTGACAGAAGAGCCCAAGTCAAGTAGTGGAAGGGACTTGTTCTTTTCAAAAGCTGTCTTTTTCTCCATTTGGTATGCAGGGGATATTCCAGTAACTGAAATTTTTTCATATTGAGTGGGCCAATGTACTGTAGTATGAAGACTTTGATGATACAAGAATGCAAAATGCAGGTGATCTCTTCATCATTCCTCAGCTGCAAGTAATGTTCGTGGTTGGATCAACAAGTGCAGGGCGACTTGATCATGTATATGCACATGCACAGACATTGTATGCAGCTATGACATCCCTGATGCCCCAGCTGCCTGTCTGCATGGTCTATGAGGACAGCCTGGCCCAGCTGCTTGCCCCAGGAGATCATACCCTCTGCATCCCCAAGGCAGCAAGAGGCAACTGGTGTGCCCTCATCCCTGTGGGACATCCCATCCCCTCAGTCACAACCCAAGGACTCAAATGGAACCTGGGTCTGGAGTGTTTCTTTCTCTTGTTCTAGCTTTGGAAGTTTGCAGTTACTAGCAAAGTAAATTTGTATAATGGCATCATCTAAGGCTTTTGAAGTTAGTCATTATGGGAATGCTCAATATTTTTCATATATAGCAATTTTGACTCTGTGGCAAGGAATCAGAACATTTTTATTCAGGGTGTCCCAAAAAAGCCAGTTGCATTGCTCAAAATCTATATATATAATTCTTGTATTTTACTTGATACAACCCAGTCAGAAGGAATTCATAGAGCAAGCTCACATCTCCTCCCCAAATAAAATATTAGCAAAGCAAAACAAAATCATTTCTACACTCTCTCCAAAAACTGTAAAAATTTTTGTCATCAATGCATTTCTGCCATCTGGTGGGTAAAGAATGCATCCCCTTCTGAAAAAAGTCTATAGGTTGTTGTCAGAGCCAAGTGGTGGTGGCTTCTTTGAGGTCTCTGTCAGAGGTGAAGTGAATTCCCCATAGGTGATCCTTCAGCGGAGTGAACAAGTGGTAGCCTGATGGTACCAAGTTGGAGCTGTAAGTAGGGCATTGCAGGACGGTCCATGTGAAAGCTCCAAAGTTTTTGTTGGGTGGTGAAGGCTACATGAGGTCAAGCATTGTCATGGAGCACACAAGCATCAGTATTCTTTAATGCAGGCCTCCTCTGTCTGATGGCACTTTTCAGTTTGTCCAGTGTCTGGCAATATTTTTCTCTGCATTTATGGTTGCATTTGGTTCGAGGAAATCAAAAAACAATACCCCATGTGCGCTACATGACAATGCTTGACCTCATGTGACCTTCACCACCCAGCAAAAACTTGGGAGCTTTCACATGGACCGTCCTGCAATGCCCTGCTTACAGCCTGACTTGGCACCATCAGACTACCACTTGTTCAGTCCACTGAAGGATCACCTATGGGGAATTCACTTCACCTCTGACAACAGCCTACAGACTTCTTCCAGAAGGGGATGCATTCTTTACCTGCTAGATGGCAGAAATGGAATGATAATAGTGAAAATCACCTTGAAGATTAATGAAAGTATGTACCTCACTCATGGTTAATTTCATGATAATCCAACTATCTGTGTCAATTTAAAAAATAGTTTGTGGCAATTTATCGAACAACCCTTGTATTAGTTTTTTTTTCATTTATATCAGCAGTAAAATATATTCATTCTTACCAATGTTCTTACAGTATAAGTATTGACAAGTTGATGTAAAGTAGTTGTTCTCAACCTTTTTGACTGAGTGACCCATTTTCATTTATTTAAGACTGTAACTCAGAAGGAAGGATATTGACCAAAAGAAAAAGATACAGGTGAAAAATACCATGCATGTCAAAAACATTTATTTCTTGTGTCATGGGCCCAAAATGACCCAAATCAAAACCCCACCTTGATCCATGAGTGGGTGGCAACCCATAAGTTAGGAACCTCTGGTAAAGAGATCATTATTAGATAGGTAGCTTTGCTTCACAGCATAGATTCTTGTGTTTCATTCATTCAGTCATTGAAATTTTCATGTTATGTCAATTGATGCCATGATTGACCAGAGAACCTTCATGTACCATTTGAGTAAGTCTTTGATTTCATTGTCGTTTTATCCATTTCCATTCATAGAAGGACAGGAGCTGGCATTTGGAAACCTGGTGAGCACATCAAATGCATTCAGGGATGATACAGACACAGTGGAGATCTCTACAAGTGCCCCACTGCTCTGGATTGCCTCCCTCCCACCTGACCTTGTTCCCCACCTCTTTTGATGACTTTTGGCATCAAGAATCCTTCATCTATTGGGATCGAGAAGGCAGCTCTTCGTATCCTTGGGATCTAAAGAGATGCTGGTGATATCTGTTAACATCCAGTGGGGTTCTTTAGGTCTTTTGGATCTATAGTCAGTTTTTGTTTCAGGGATGCTGTTTTGGTTCATTCCATTATTCAAATGGTTCTTCTAGTCAAATAGTTGCAATGAGAGTGTTTCTGTATATTTATGGCAGCAATGACCATGTTAAAAGGAGTGCCCTTGGCTGGACGTTCTCATATTCAGGGAGAAAGAAATATGATATTCATATTGAAAAATGCAGCACAAAAATGCACTCGAATAAAATTTCAATGTACCCTTTCACCACAGTGAAAGTGAAATTAGTTTAATCCACAGTGGTCCTTGACTGTAGTCCACTTGTGGCTCTTTGAAAGAAAATGGCATAAAATAGTCTTTAAAAAGCTGCTCACAAGAGAAAAAATGTTTAGAACTCGCATCATTGTGCAGACCATCAGTGAGCCATAGGATGTTTGCAAATAGCATCTAATGACTATTGGAAAATTCTCATATTTGTGCCAAAATAGGACATCTTCACCAAAGCAATCATTTATAGAACTTTTTTTCATGTTCTACCTTCCATCTCATACACAGCTCTGTCAAATTTTGTCTTTCTTATGCCCAGTCATCCATTTGTCATCTGCAAGGAGGCAATAAATGTTCAAATATCATGCACATATTGACAACTGATTGTTAAGACAACTTTCTTTTTTTCAGGACTGACTCAAGTGAAGTGCATGGCATGAGTTGAGCAGCATGTTATACAGTGGAGACAATTCAAAGCAAAATATTTAGATTGTTGTTTTTTCATGTCCTACAAACCACCTGACCATCATGCTACCCAATACCAACTGAAATGCTCTTTAGATTTTGTATCATCAGAACTGGCAACTGCTGAAGGAGAGCAGAGAGCATTCAGTCAACCACAGCATTGAGTAATGCTGTGGTTGGATGTAAGGACTTGGCACAGTGTCTCCTGTTTCAGCCCTTTCTTCCTTTCAGATTAATTTTCAAACATGGCTCTAGTGTTCCTAAACTTGCAACAAATTCAAGTTATTTACAAGCATTAAAATCAGACTACTAGAAAAATGTATCCAGAAAGTTTAGGTTTTTTGCAACTTTGGCAGAAATGTATTGTTTTCTTTGAATGGCATCATAAGAATGATTGAGTTGATTTTCTGGGGAATGGGATAAAGGAAGATTGTACCCCTCAGCCATGTTTGGCCTGAGCCCCAATATATCTCTCCAGAATGCTAGCCATCATGTCCATTTTTCTTCATTCAGGTGCTATTAGACACCCAAGTTTAATTGCATGCAGAATCATGAGGTTGATTTAATTCTCCCATAGCAGAGCATGCTTTCTGCCTACTTTATTTTTATGTTCAATTTTTTCATTCACTTAGGCCACTCAAAATTCCAAGCAGATCACTTATCAATTTCATTGGAAGCAACAAAGGTGATGAAGTATGGGCCATTTTGGGTAATTGCACTCAAAATATTTTATATTCAGAGACCCATTTGACTGTGAGCAAATTATTCAGGCTTCATTAAATCAAATTATTGTACTGGATCAATGTAATATTTATGGTTATTTATTACAGTGATCCAGTTTGAATGTTGAGTGGTGTAGCTTTAGTTATGCCATATTTATTTTAGATGTTTAGAAGTAAAAGTAATGATGGGTTTTTTAAGGATATTTTCTTGAAACAGTCAATAATATGTAGGTAATTGAGTTTAGTTCTCATTTTAATAAAGTATTTTGCATATGTAAGGTCATCAATGTCATGTAGTTTGTGTAGGGGAAACTGGGATGCTCATGAGCTCAAGGCACCAAAGAACCTCCCCCCTCCATATCTTTTTTTTTTTAATATTCTCAGAGATATCTATTTTATATATAGTACATTCTAAAACTTGTCCCACTGTCCAATATGCCACCTCTACTTAAATATGGACACTCTCAGTAGTTATCAATGGCAGAAAATTTATTTTCCCAAATTGAAATTAAATTTTTATGACATTTTGGTACTTTGGTATCAAAGGTATTCCTATAATATACATCCTATAGGTAGTATTCCTATAATACACTTCCATAGCATCAATTACAGAACAAATGAGCCATTATCGTGCCTTGATAACTGCAATTTTTAGAGTGACCTAACATGTATGTGGTTGGCCAAAAGGTTGGGGGCCACTTTTATATTACCTATTTTATATTACCTTTAAGTGAGTGGATTGATGTCTGTGAAATTTTATTGTTACATTCTTATCCATTAACTGCTGTTTCTCTAAACAAAATGGTCAATATTGGATACAAGAATCCAAGCATATGAGCAGGTGTCAGCACAGGAAATTATTTGCACATGCTGTCATTGCAAATAAAAACTTACTGTCCACTTAACTACTGAAATAGAAAGTAGGGAGGAAATGTTCAGAAAAATGATGGAAAATCAGGATTTGATTAGAAACAACTGATTGAAGTTGCATTATTATGTAGAATATTTAATTCTTTTGTTATTTTAATTTAAAATTTAAAAAGAATTTATTATATTTAATTCCTCATTCTTGCCCTCATTCTTGTTTTTCAAGCTCATTTTAATTGCTCTCCATAATTTTATTTAACCCTTTATGCATGCTGATAATGCAAGAATGAGGATTAGAATGAGATAAACAATTTTGTGTCTGAATTATGTTTTGGGCATGGGAAAAATATTATATTTATTATTGTGGATTCAGCAAGGCTTAGGAAACTTGTACATGCTTGTAAAAAGAGAAATTCATATATTTTAATTTAATTTAATTTGAAATGTAAAAAAAAATTAAATAAGTAAATATAACCATGCAATCAGTTCTGCTTCAAAGCAAATCCTGATTTCCCATCATATTCTTAATTTTCCTTACTACTTTTTCTATAGTGTGACTTGTAAAAACGAACAAAAAATAGCTAGGAAACAAATTACTGAAAATAACTCACTTAACATTTTTAATATCCTTCAAGTTCCCTCATATTGATCTGCTCTTAATGTATTCAAAGACACAACTGATATGTGTAAACAAATCATCAAGTAGTTTCATTGTTGTAATAATGCTGACTGAAAATGTTCAAGAAAAGTTCACATATGAGGCTAGGGAAATTCTTGAGTTCAGTGGTTCCAAATGGAACCTTTAGGTGTGAAAATCCAAACAAGTTAAAATCTCTTGTGAATTACCTGAAAAGGATAAAAAAAATTGTTATCCATCTTCATGTGTAGACTTCAGATGAAAATTGGAATGGCCCAGCTCTCAACTCCTAGTACATGGGGTTCTTCAAGCCATTCACCTGCTGCTAGAAGTTATGGAATGGATCTAAAATGTTATAACCAAGTTGGTCACTCACTAACTATTCTGAGATGACCTTAGATGCCAAAAAGTTGTGCTCATTAGTGTCATTCATTCCCTCAGTAATAATAAAACTTAATAAAACATCATATGTGAATCATGGGTCAGATCATAATTCCATTTGAGTTTTTCTGTTGTATTTATTTACTTTTTTAAAATTTGTTTCAGGTTGATTTGTTTATTTTGTGTTGTGTTAAATGGGGGTGAGAACAGGGGTGTTGATGTTGAACATGGGGGGACCAGCAGGGACACGAGATGTCCACCCCTTCCTACTTCGACTTTTCTCTGATCGAGACCTCATTTCCCTCCCCTTTCATAAGTAAGAATCAGAAAGCTTGATAACAAAATTGTCTCCCTTGTTTTTCCATTTCCGGGTGGATAGCATTCACCAGAACAACTCAGCTTAATTGGATTCCATTCTATCATTGGTTCTGGAGAGTTCATACACCTGTCATTTCCATCCCACAAATCCCATTAGGAAATCAATACAAATTGCCCTGAACCATATAGAAGTACCTGTAGTCCATTAATGATGAAATCCAAGACAAGCAAGAATTTAGGTAAAAAATCATAGCAAGGCAGTGGTGTGGTCCACATGTTGCCATCACCATGCTTGAAAATGCGCTTGCAATCTAAAAAGAAAAATTAATTTATTTTTGCTGATATAATTACTCTTTCTGCTTTTGCTATGCTAAGAAAGGTAGAAAAGGTTAATGTCAATCAGGTGAAAAAATGATATGACTTTTATCTCCTTTATATGAGACTCTTAGTACTTTTGTGCATCCAAATGTCATAGAGAAAAAAATCCCTTAAGTAAATGCATTTTAAATCTCTTTTATGCTTTATTTTCATGTCATTCTCACCTGCATTGCATGCCCTCTGCTGGCTGAGTCTGTGAATCTTTCATTCCCCCAACTTTTTTCTAGAAAGCTTGGCCCCTGGATAGCTAAACGGAGGACTCCCAAGATTCAAGAAAAGTATGAGGAAATTGGAGGTGGTTCTCCTATTGGGAAATGGACTGACATCCAGGTTTGTACCCCCAACACCTTTTGTCTTAATCAGAAGCTATCAGAACTTATTGAGTTGACTGTGCCAGCAATATACAGGGTGACAGATGATGTGATTTAGCAACTCAGAAATGTGTATCCTTGCATCTATAGGTCATAAGCACCTTACTATACAAAGAGGAGTATGGGTCTAGTATTATTACCTACAAGGGACACCACACATGGACCAGAATGTCTGCCTAGAGTGATGTGAAACTGATTCATCAGTGAAAAAAATGTGAATAAAATGAGAACATTTATTTCAATAGTGTTAAATCCAACCTAGATGGTAATCCTTTTTCTCCCATGGCTTTGTGAACTGATCTACCAAGATACAAGGTCATGACCTTGTTGTCCACCCATGGATGCTGAGATATGTGTCTCTGAGTAGCTTTACCAATTTTGGACACCTTGCACTTTGAAGGAAAGTTATTGTATCATAGAAATATGATACAATAACTTCAGGATCAAATCAGATTCAGTGACTTTACTCATGAATTTGTGATTTTCTTGGATGTTATTGTTTCATTTGACTGGACTATCTCATTATTTTTATTCAATTAGTTTTGGGAATTTTTTTGCATCAGGGAAAGGAGTTGTGTAAGCGACTGGATGCAGAAAGCCCCAATACAGCTCCACACAAGCATTATATTGGGTTCAGATATGCAGATCCACTCACAGAGGACACCCTCAATCAGATGGAAAGGTTTGGTCAATACAAAATAAGTCAGATATTATTAAGGATGAGAGGAATAAACCATACTTGCTCATGTTTCTTGCCTGAAAGCTGTATTAAGAAAATGGCCAGTTATTTGGAAACAATGGAAACAAATTTGGAAAAAAAGTAATGGGATAGAGCCAAACTGAAGCCAATAGTGGAAATTATTTTGCATCAGGATATATGTTATCTGAAGAGCCTGCCAGAGTCCAATTCCTTGCAAAAGCTTCCTGTTTTTGAGTCTCATTTTATGGAGTGCCATTACCTGCCCAATGGAGTGCCATTACCTGTAGCTGACTAAATTCCTATATGTATTCCACTGGTGCAAAATGAAATGCCCAAAGAAAGTTGGAGTCCCTCCTCACAATTAGCAAAGTTACTCTAAGCAGTAGTGTGTAGTTGCAGGGGGTGAATGCTAATGTGATGTGAAAGCAATGATTCATTGCCAAACTTATCTGCCCCCCTCATAGAACCTGCACACTATGAAAAGGGTGCTTGAAAGAAGAATTTGTCAGAAAATGATATGATTCCAGTTTCACTTGATGTTCTCTCTGAAGTCTTGCAAGATGAATTTTATATAATTGGCCCATAGTTCTCATTAACCTAGAAATTCAACTGCATTTGCATTAGACTACATTGGAGAAGGGCATTCATTTTCTATGGCTTTGAAAATTTTAGAGTCAAGAAGGATTTCACCAAAAAATGTGCCTGAAGGTGTATAAAGCTGATTTATCAGGTTGAGCAAAATGGACAAAATGAGAAGCCCTCCTGAGTACCTGGTGACCACTTGGAGAAACTCTTGTTGAAATGGATTTTCTTACTGTAACATACAATTATTTATTTAGCTATTGATTTATTGTTTCTCATATGATGGCTTTGGGTGTTTATGGTTCATGTAGGGATGGGGTGCAGCATGCAATAGCCTTCAGCCAGTATCCACAATACAGCTGTGCCACATCTGGATCCAGCTTCAATGCCATCTTCAGGCACTATCTCCATAGGTAACCCCTCACACTTTATCTTTTCAGGCAATAAAGCTTTTGCTTATTTAGAATTAGAATTAGAATTTTGGTCACCTGAGGAGAATGCTTGATGCAGAGCTGAAGTGAATTTCAATGGACTTTTTTTTCTCCAAACAGTTATTGGGTCACACAGGTGCTTCCTGTGCAATTCTCATCAAATTGGTTATTGCTTTAAGGAAAAATAGGATTGAAGTTTGCAGTTTTTGTGCACATCAAGGTCATGAGATAAATTTTATGAGTGGCAAGTAATGGCTAAAAGGAAGTGAAAAATAGGGGAGGAATATGAAACAAAAAATCCCCATTAATTTTTACACTTGAAGACACTGGATTCTTGATGCAAAATTTTAAGCATCTAACTCTATTTATTCCAAGATTATAAATATTTATAATGGTCCCATGAATAAAAAATCACCCTGTATAAGCTGAAAAATAAGGTAAAGAAATAAAAGCTAAAAAATAGCTGTAAGTATTAATTTATTTTTTTTTACAATGGAATGCAAGAAAAACACATTGTGGTCCAAACAAAGTGACCTTTTTCTGTCATCTGAGAGTTAAGAAACATCTGCCTTGAAAGAAGAAGTCAACCAAGGAGATTGTATCAAACCCTTCACTGAACAATATCTCTTAGCACTACTTATGAAACAGGCAGAGACTCTTGTCTACTACACTAGATGCAAGCAATATCACTGGCTGATAAAAGTGTTAGCATCCGCATGATTGCAGCAGACCTCTTGTGGTGTCCTGTTGAGAGAATAGCAGTGGATCAGGGTTAAATTTTACCTAAAGAACTTCTTATATTCTGAAGGTTGTGTTCCTCATGCAGATTATCGTTTTCACCATTCTGCCTCAGATTTGAGGCTGAATGGAGAGTGAAGAATAGAATGAAAGTATGCCAGAAAGTAGCAGAGTTCAACTGCAGTAAATAAAAGAAAAAGATTGATGAAGGGAGAAAAGAAACTCTATCTTGTATATCTGGATGAGAATAGCTACTAAGAGAGAGAATACATCTTTTCTTAGAGTGTATCTTTCTCTGTATTCACCATAGCACCCCTGGCAAGAAAAAAGGGTTTCCCCTCTTTGATGAGAACTATTCTGATCTGAGGATAAAGAAAGTGATTATTGGAGCAATAGCAGGAGGGATGAAGGAAATACAGAACCCAAGGGATGAAGTGAAGATCAAAGGAGGTTGGAGGGTAGTACAGGATTGGGAAAAGAAGCAAAAGATGGCCATTCAACATCCCTCCTCCCTTGGCACTTAACCATCTACTGAGGAATGCTCTACTTTAATTTTTTATTGTCAGTCTAGTTTCACATGAACTTCATAAAAAAAAGTCTCCTAACCAAATTTTAATTTGGCTGTAAACCATTGAATACCTTTTTAAGTTATTGCTAAATTATGGTCATGAGTAATGAGCTAAATGGCAGACTGGATGGGATTATAAGTGGCCCTTTTCTCTTATGAAGAGGGAAGGCTGGATAAAAATTGCACATTGTAAACAATCAAATGGCTTAAACTCCTTTTATATGATGCATAATTTCCAGCTGCAGTGACATGCAAACATGGTTTTATAAAGCATCACAAGAGCCTTCCTCAGCCTTAATCTGTAGAAGTTTAATAGGGTATTAAAGTTCATTTCCAAATTAGGCTATACTAAGATTGCTCTCAAACCTGTCACCATCTCTGGTGTAATGATGAAGAGATTTTCCTCCTTGAATGACTCCTACTACATTTTGGGCTCAGTACAGAGGCCAAACCTTATGGAAAGTTTTTTTTTTTACATGTTGTTTCATAATATTTATTGAATGTTAATTTTATCTGTTTTGCTATAACCTTTTGAGGACATATTTTAATGCAATTAGCATATCCTGATGGATAAACAGGTTGCTGCTTCTCAAAAGGTTAATTTGTTTCATCCTCTTCCATCAAACTATTTGTGATTCCAAGATCATTAGAAAACAGTAGTGGAGTGGAAAATGCAGGAAGATATAAATGGGAATGTTGCTTGTAGCCCATCACCATTGCAAGTTAAATTCATCTAAGATCATATCTTTTTACATTTCTAAAAATTATTAAATCTGTTGGAACTTATCATCATATCAGAAGATACCCTGATGGCATGACAGCATCAAGGGTGCTTGGGTATGCATTTGAGATGGGAGAAAATTCTGTCTTTGGCATGCTTCATTCACCCACATGGTAAATCGCTATATGCATGAGAGCTTCAGCATTGATTTAAAAAATGAAAGACTTGGTGATGAATAAAGTAATTAACCTTATAGGAAAGAATGTAACTTATTACTTGAAATTTTTACATTTCTGAAAAGCATGTTATTTGTTACAAGGAAAAGTAATGATTTACAATAACATTGAAATTTAGGTTGAATTACTTCCCATCACTGCCTATTTACCACATCCTGTATGTGTAGAGAGACAAGGATGCAATGGAGTGTGATAGACAGGTGGGGCTGGCATCCTTTGCTGGCCAAGACTCATGCCAACCTGATTCGGTCCTCCCTGGAAACAGGATTCCCAGAAAAAGACCGAAAGGATGTCACCATCCTCTTCTCAGCTCATTCCCTTCCCCTTAAGGTAGGCGCTCTGTCTTTGCATGCGTCCTTAGCCATTGATGGAAATGGATGGAATGCTATTCATGAGAATGTTGTTCACATGCATAGCCATCCATGGCTTTGAAATTCCAAGTACTTCGAGTTTGACCTTCCACTTACAGCAACCATTGGTTTTAAGCTGAATGTATATGATTGTAAGCCTGTTGGAATGGTTTCTTACTTCTTAGTACCTCTTTCATACATAAACATAGGAGTGATCAAAGTCCACCAAGTCTATTCCAAATGTTTCAACTTTAGCCGGACCCATCCCATCGTCATGGCAGTGAATCTGGCCTTGGCCTTGGCCTTGCAGCCTTGCAGCAAGGCCAAGGGAAGGGGTGGAGACTCTGCGTTCCTTTTCTCTTTTCCCCCATCCATACATGAATTGCGCACTTTTTACGGCGTATTGGCTGGCTTCTTGTCCCTGCCCTCGTCGTTATGACTGAATTTTGATGCCATCAAAAAATGGGATCAGCAGCTCATAATGCATGACTGTGCTTTTTGAATTTACCACAGTAAGAGCTTAGAAGGTGCTTAAAATTTTTCACATCTGAGGTGAAGAATAACTTGGGATGGCCCGAAGTACAGACCTTCATACATTACCGATGAGAATTAGAAGAGGAATGTATCTCTATGAAGCTACGAGAGGGTCCACGTGCATTCTAGTTCAATCATTTGGATTATTTCATGTCCAGGATGAATTTGATCGGTTGATAGAAAGGTCAGAAGTTTTTCGAGCACACACAGAGAACTTTAGAATTTTTCCAAGTGCAACTTTGAAATAAAGCGTTTATTGCTCACTGTGTAGGGAAATCCATGGGATTTTCTTTTCTGCATGCATATTCGAATGAGAATTCCTGTGAGCAGAGTTCCAGCCGGGTCCTTATATAAACATTTAGAGGTGGCAGTGGTTTAAATGCACCGGATCGGGCGACACTCGTCCGAGCATCTGCCTCTTTGGAAGGAGAAATGATGATTCCGACTTCTGAGAAAGGAATCTTTAAGGGTTTGAACAGGGTATGGAGGGCCCCACTTTTACTCGAGCGAGAGCCAAGGGACCCAGAACATTTCTCCGCCATCCGAACGGAGAAAAAAAGTTTTCACTCTCCTCCTGCCTTAAGGGTTTCCAGGAATTCCCCACTGCAGATAGAGATCATCCATGGATGTGCTGAAAGCGAAGTGGGGTGAGCTGTGAGGGTAGGAGTTTTTTTCATGAACGTCTATCAGATCGGGGTACGTGTCTTCTTTTCTCTCCCTTGTCTCCAATCGTTCTTTCTCGCTGATATATTACAAGGCGTGGGATGGGACTGCGAACTCAGAATGGAGAGATTAAGACGAGAGACGGCTGTGGGTCGTTACAAGATGGCAAGGAAAAAATGCCAACGATCGCGCGGTGGAGAGAAAAAAAAAATAAAGAAAAATGGTGGACTGGGTACGAAGACCTTCCCTCTTTTCCTCCGTTATTGACCCCCTTGCAGGGCCGTATCTAGGATTTCATTTCGGGGGGGGGGGGGGGGGGGGGGGGGGGGGGGGGGGGGGNTGTTGCCCATGGAAAGGGAAGAGGCACAGGGAAAAGAGTGAGCATGAGTATTTATCAGTTAAGTGCTGATCATAATTCAATTTTCATGAAATCAGGGGTAACTTTCGCTTTCCCATGCATCCAGCTTCTGTCGAAGAAGTGGAGAAGCTGTAGAAAGATCAGTTTTTGTTCAGGAAAAGTAACTTGAAAAGTAACTTCTACTTGTAACTAGTTACTTTTGGTGAGAAGTAATTCTACTGGTAACTAATTACTTTTTGGATGAAATACTTGTAATTGTAATTAGTTACTTTTCACATGTAACGCGCCCAACACTGGCCATTAGTTACATCTATGTTGTAGGGAAACTACCAATAAATAGGAATGCAAAGAGTAGATGTCGCCCGAATCTAGGCCACTATATAATTTTGATGCTACGTGATTCGATGCAACGAAGTTTTGATGCAATGTGTTTTCGATCCAAAAAATTGTCCTATTGTGAGACCGTCCCGTGTTTTCGATGCTACGTGATATCCGGCTTCAGATCAAATTTGACCCTACGAGATTATGTGCTCCGTGATTTCTGCGCTACGCGTTTGTATTGTTACGGAGGGAAAGTAGGAGACGAACGACGGAAGGCATGAGAGGTCGAAAGAAGTCAAGGAACGGCCGGGAATTGAACCCGGGCCTCCTGATTGCCGGTCGGGTGTGCTACCACTACACCATCGAACCCAGGACATTAGTTCCTCCCGATGCCACCCTCATCCGTCACAGTATTCAAAGGGAGCGCCAGTTTTTGGAGCTATGAGATTTGGTGCTATGTGGCACTCCCTCCAGTCCCATGCCCCTGCCCAACTCCCCTCTTCCTTCTGTGCTTTCCCTTGCAACTTCTTCATTACGACTCTCTTTCCCCATTCGCATCCAGTGACTTTTCGGTCGCTCTGTCCTAGGCTGCTGTTACCTTAGCCTGACGCGAGATGCTTCCTAGGCTATGCCTTTAAAAGCCGTAGAGTTAGCAGAAGGACACGTGATGCGTACCAGTACGCTTGTGGATGAGAAGAGGTCAGGAAGCTTTTTTATTTGGAATAGTCTGAAAGCGATGGCTCTGTTTTTGTGTGTTTCCATTTCCCAAAAATAGTATTTCGTTTTGAGGAAGAGTATGCAGTGCGAAAACGACTACCTTCTATGAGCCATCATTACATTTCATTCCCTTGATAAAGCTTTCGTTTTCGGTTTTGCAAAACTATGAACTACACAGTAAAATTATAAGGGGAAAAAGAAGCATTCAGGGAGAGATTAAGGGGTGGAATAAAGTCAGTTTAAATTTTTAAATCACGATTAATACATTAATCGATTGATCTAATCAAATTGACAACCCTAGTTAAAATGCGTTTGGTGAAAAACTTCCCAGTTCAGGGGTTAATATGCGAAATACTGTAATTTTCAAATACAGAGTAATTCATCAGTTTTTACCTGTTCTGTGTTGTAATTTATATTTGGGCATACACCACGCAACATTTGAAGCGGATAAATATGATGAACAACACAAAATGGCATTGGTCCAGCACTGTAATTTGTAATTTTCAAGAATAATTTCTCAGGTGCATGTCAGACTGCTGAAAGTGGGTCTCTAAATGAATGGGTACAATGTTACTCTGGAGTACATGCATCCAATATGATCATTGATTGCTATCTACCTTGTTCATAGTGATCCACTTCAAATGTTTATTGCTTGATTGGGAATTTTATTTTCATCATGTGCTACATAGCAACAACCGATATCGTCAGGTAAAGTAGATGAAAAGCAAGAGGGAGAGATGTCAGATACTGTGTTTCCGGAATGACTTTAACCCACATTAACATGGGCTCCATGCTTTTCTATGGATCCTACTGGCGGCTCGGCAAAATAGTACTTCTATAACTTTCAACAGATGTCGTTTCAAGCAATAGAGGCCTAATCGAGTCGTCAACTTCACTGTCACTCCTTACAGGCTCATGGAAGATGTCACAGGACCCTTCAAGGTTGTGACTCACATTGAGCTGGTGACCGTAGATGGCATAATAAAGAGATGCAAGGTCACAATGTAAGTTTCGGAAGAGGTTTATTCTTCCCAGAACAAACCGGCAGTGCAAGAGAAACGGTGTGATTGAAAAGTTTTTCCTACTCTAAAAATACGAATAATTTTTTTAATAAAGAGACAATTATAGTTTGTCAACGGCTGACGTAAAAAATCCTGATATTATCGATATTAATCAATATTTAGTTACTGGTACGTTGTCGAACATAAAATGAAGGAAGTGGCAGAGGGAACAGATTTCATTTATATGGGTGAATCTCCACATAACCTGCATATTCACCAAAACTATATATGTTGCACTCATAAATGATCCCTATCCTTGAAAATGTCCCGATCTCATAATGAAGTCGTGACCCATCTACCGAGAGAGAGAGACACATTCATTTGTGTCTTTACAAGCACCTCTTTGCTTATTTGTTTTTTTTTTATGACAAGTGGTGCCAGATGGTACAGTTTTGGCCCGAGTCGATATGAATTCCTTCTACGTTTCAGATTTTTTCATTTTACTTACCTTACTTTCAGATTAAGCAGGCAGCGCAACTGCCGTACATAAAACGGATCTTACGACTTGTCCCACTAACACCTCTACTGTTCAGGGCAGTATCTAGGATTTCATTTCGGGGGGTTGAGGTCTGGCGTACGCGCTGTGGCTATTTTTTTTGTATACTTGTCATTGTAAATCTTTGTGACATATCTGGATTTTCATGTAAGTTGCAGTGTTTAATAAGTCATAAGCTATTAAATATAGAAAGGACCAAGTACTGCACCGTTTACACCGACGAATAGCAGTATGGCAAACATTTAAGGAAGATATTTCGGGGGGAGTTTGAACCCCATGAACCCCCCCCCCCCCCCCCCCTAAATACGGCCTTGTTACTATTACGATTCTTGTCAAACTAGTTAACGCGTCATTAGTAATGATGGCAAAAACAAGATGTCTCTCACGTCGCTGCAGGCAACAGCGCCACGGAGAGGGGGTAGGGGGGTTAAAGTCAATCCGGAAACACTAGATCTAGGTCGGAAATGAAGAAACCGCATATCAACCTACCCAGCAAACGATTTGAAACACATGACGTTGAATCAACGTTGAGTCAATATTGAATGAACGATCAACGTTAATACAACGTTGGTCCAACGTAGCCTTGTTTGCTGGGTAGATTCCTTGGACCTTTGATGTTAGTAAGCATTCTTGTCATGAAAGGGATGAAAATATGTTAGTATCTCGTGGTGCAGCACTTCTTGGAGAAGCAAAATCTATATCTTGCTGCTCTGGATGGTGGTAGTTCGAAGTTGGATCTGTAAAGTTGTTGGCGAAATTGTTGACGAACGAAACGATGTGTCAGTCCTTCTTTGGGCATTCATTGGACCTCCAGCAAAGGAACTTCCAAGGAC